GGGTACCTCTTCAATTTCTTCCAAATTTTCGTTTTTGGCCAATAACTCCCAAACCATTGGACATACGGAAAAATTGCATATGACCTTTCTTGTAGAGGACGGCGAGATCTACAATTTTTGTATAAAAGTTTTTCGCTAGCGTCAATAGTTAACGAGTTATTAACGAAAAACGAAAAAACAGTTTTTTGCAAATTACTCGTTAACTATTGACACTAACGAAAAATTTTTACATGGAAATTATAGATCTCGTCGTCCTCTACAAGAAAGGTCCTATGCAATTTTCTCATAAGTCTAACGGTTTAAGAGTTATTGAGGAAAAACGAAATCTTTTGCCAAAAGTTGGCTGTTTCGACGGTGGGACGGTCGGATTTTGTCAAGACCTATAAAATGCCGATTAATCATACTTATCTAGTAGAAGTAGTAGAAGTTAGAAGAAAAACAACTTTTATTTGAAGTATTTTTCGAAATTTTTGGGAATACTTTACTTTTGGGATTATGTATAGCCAATACATCCTTAATTGCGCTGCTCGCTTATTCGATCTAATAAATAAACATACGTATTCTAGGTCTGTGTTCTAATTCTTGCGATTATTATCAACCTGACAGACTTTTATTTAATGAACCACCACTGACTGTTACCATCTTCGTTTTTTATTGCGAACAAAAATTGATTGTCTCGATTCGAATCTACTTTCCACAGGATCATCAATTTGTATCATTATGTATTTATCGAAGATGATCATTGCCATTAGGAGATTTCTCTATAAAACTTCTCGAAACGAATTATCCTGTTTTGTCGGTTTGAAATGGTTTTGAACGACGGGAAATCGTTTCTTTGTCGAAAGGTACCGATGCAAATTTATGAAACGTACCGTGAGCGAGGCGCATTAAACAGAGTTTGTGGATTAAATAGAAATGACTCGGTCCTCTACACTTCTTTGTCCTCCACATTTCTGATAGCTATCGCACATCCTTGCTCGTGTCAAGGCCTCGATTGAACTCTGGACTATAATAGAAAACCGAACCAACCTCGAAAGAGTAATTATTTGCTCCTTCCACGAGTTCAGTCGATTTATTTTAAAAATCATAATTCTTCAACGTCTTTGCTGCCGGGTCGGTTGAAGTCGCTTTACGATGATAAAAAACAGAAACCAAAGGTCGGTTGGAAAGTTGGTTTTTTGACTTTTCAATTGGAAAGTTTTGCTACCGAGTGACTGTCTCGGTTTATGGTTGGTGTTGGTCGTCCGTAAATTTGAGATATTTATTACGAGCGGAGTACACGCGCGAAAATGCGTGTACCCAGTGACCCAAAGACAGAAGCCATAAACGTGAAAAGCTCGCCGGAACTATTGGCTTTCAAGGATTCTTCCAATCGGTTTTACTCGCTTCTGTTTACTGCGACCTTAACTTCTTGAAACCTCTATTGAGGTGTACTCGATTACACAATTCCTTTCTACTCCATAGATCTGACGATCGTTGAATAAAATTCGCTGCCCGTATTCGAATGAATAAAACGAGATACGTGCATTTTAATCGACTTTGGTTTCGAATGCGATTTCGGAGCAGCGTTTCCGAGTATGCAAACGATCCGGTATTTCAATCGTACAGGATAAAAAAAACAAACAATGTTGTGGAAATGAGAACGAGCGATTCTCGAGAACGAGCGTGTTTGCTGCTCGAGCAGGAAGCGCAAATTCGATCGTAAAGCAGATTCGAGTATGTAAATCCGTTCGGGTATAGAATAACTTTCGTCCTGATCGTAATTAAAGAGGATCGCTTAATTTATGCGCGATTAAACAAAGAGAATCGAACGGTTCCCGATGCTCGACAAGTGCCTGGACGTAGGAACTCGACGCACTGGCAAAAAGGATTTACTAAATAACGCATACGAAGTTTGTACAGTCGAGTGGGATACAATTTACAGAATGCAGTTTCCTCATTTTACGATGGCCATTCCAACGGCATTCTGTAAAAATTTATCTCGTTTTATCGGAGCGGATCGCAGCTTAAGGGATTTCACGAGCATCAATTTGCCGGTTAACGAACGACGTAATTTTACAGGGAATAATCGGAGAGTAATTAAGCTCGTTCGGTGAACAGTTTAAACTGTGCAATTTTGTAACAAGCAAGCTTGTTGTTCCCCCGCGGGGGGAAATCGAATAACGACCGTTCGATGATTACAAAGTGCTACATTAAACGCGACCGGTTGCTCCGATAGCTTTTTTAAACATTTCAATTTGGCAAATTTTATCACGACGACAAGTAATCTCGTTAACCTTTTCCAGTAACTATTTATCCCTTGATAAAGAAAACACGTTCCCTCGTTACGTATTTCACGAAGACTAAAAAGTATTATCCGTTTATAGTGACGCACGCTTTAGATATTGAAAAGAAATTGGACATGGAAACGTAATAAGACGAATTAATTATACAACGATCTGTTCGACTATCGTCTATAAAAAGGGTTGTTTTCTGATTGCAGGACTCGATGGAGTGCGAGGGTGACGGGAGAGGAGGTGGATTAGAGCTCGTCGATACAGCGACCGAGGACTCGTCCCCGACGATTCGAGGTAATTAAACTTTCGTTCTTCCACCCCAACCAATTCTGTCTCGGTGGACGAGATGTTTTCGTTTAAATGGGGAAGCTTTCAGAGGAATCGCAATTAAGGGTGGAGTCAGATACAATGTACAAACCACGAATTCGTCCGAACAATCAAGGGTATTAACGATCGGACTAATTAACCAAGAACTGAATGCGACGTTTCAAAGGAACTTTCATTCAACCTTTTCGCTATCAAAGCCCATTATATTCAACAGTCAGTTGCTCCTTCCCTTCTTTAACGTTATTAACGCAGAGGGGGCATTCATAAAGAGGACAAACAAGTTTCTCGCGATTCAAAACGTTCCTCGTTTCCACTCCTATCGCTAACTACCCTCTTGTTTTACACCGCTTTCATCGCGTTCTATGAGACCAGCGCGTTCTATTTGCTCTTTAATTAGATCGTCGAGGAAAGGGATAACCGAATTAAGAGAGAAAGAAAGCATAACGAGATAGAATAACGAATAAACTTTGCAATGGGTAATGACCGTCCCACGCTTACCCCTACTTACAAGTCTTAGTAGATATTAAAAAATCTATAACTGATGAGATGTTCAAGCACGATTTTATTGGCACGATTCACGATTTATTGCACGATATGTCGCAATGCGTGTCGATTGAAATAATCTCTGATGGCTATTAATTTGGAATATTCATCAGAATTTTCGATGAGCACTAATTATTTGAAAACGTCCCAAGACTTATGAACGTAATTACGTTCGCGACAAAGTATACCCTTAACCACTTAATAATCGAACCTTGGTTGTCCGCTTAAAACGCATCCAGGTAATCGCCCCTAACTACTCGCACCAATTTCCTTCTTCTCTCCTTTAGAGACGCGATACTTTCGATCACGCGATCCAGCCCGATCCAGCACCATAAATTATTTTTCTCTTTTTTACTTCCTCCGAATTCCTTCGAGATTTTAATTGCCTCTGCAGGACGATCGATATAATTTGTAGGCTCCATTTCGGATTGAAGTATTTATGTGCGAACGGGGTATTTTCAAGGTTTTAATTGGAACTGCTCTGGGAGATCGATTTCGATGGAATTGAACTCCTCTTGAGTTAACCATCTCACTAATCAATGCCATGCCGAAGTCACTTCTAGTTTCATTGCTACCACCCATCATCACGATATCTGTTATACTCGATAAAAAGTCTAATTTCTTTTAACGTCACGCGAAGCACTTCGTAGTTAATTCGTCACGATTACCAATCGATTCGGCCTATCGCGAGTCTCGACTATTAACGTTCGCACTAAGTACTGAATGACATGCCGAAATCACTTATAACTGACGCCTATACTTCGCTGAGACTATGCCTACACGTACTCCCTCCCCCAATGATACGTATGTATCGCGCTTCTGTAGTGGTAACTACAGCGATAACAAACACGTAAATTTACTTACTATTAATTTTGTAATTCTTGCACAATATGCGAAGAACTAAATAAATCCTGTAATTCAATTCGACCCATGATACTAGATTTTTGTGCACGATAAAACATTTATCATTTGAATTCAGAAAATCAGATTCAGATAACAATCGATGCGTTTTTCATTATTCATTCTAATTATTACATACTCCCACTGTCACAATGTATGTATAGCATTTTCTCCCACAATGTGTTTGCGGGACGTTCTAAATGCGATATCCTCGTGGTTTGTCACATGCGCGGTTTGAGTATCTGTCCCTTGCCAAGGAAACGAGGGTAAACTAGATAGTACTCACGGAAATATGGGAAATTCTACTTCAGAAACATTTCCGGATCTTTTTTCATTATACCTGTGCTACTGTGTATAGAGAGTAGAAATCTCAGGAAAATTTGATTCGATGAAAGGTCCTGCCTTTTCTAGGTCTTCCCACCCTTCGATCTGCCTGGGAACCTCGACCTAATTCTTCTTAGAGCCAAGGGAACGTTTAAAATACTTATTTAACTTCGCCCCTTTTTAAAATGCTATTGCAATATTAAATATGTAACGAGTGTAAGACCTCTTCGTCTGTCTTTATTTCGATAATAAAGGACCTTTTTGAATGTTGTCGGTGGCTGATAAAAGTTATTTCGTTGTAACAACGGTTGCTCGTACGTACATTGTATCCCTTTAAATCATTGACTAACCTGACTCAATCTATTCGCCCCACTCCCGTCCCGAAGGCCATAGAAAGGGACGAGACATTTAAATCTGGCTATCCCTGTGGGAACGTCCGGCTAGCCGAGTGTTGGGAAAAAACAGTGTACTGGGTCCAGACTTGGCTCTGGACGTCGATATGCCAAAGGGAGCGACTGATGTACGAGACTTTACAAAAGAAAGGATCAACCCCCCAAAAAACATTTCAGGTACAATTTTGTAAGGAACGAGACAAAACTCGAAAAAGAAATAAAAACAGTCGTATGAAAAATTGATAATTGTGTTTCGTTAGAAGATTTTGTGTCTTGCACTTTAGCAAATCGCAGTTCATTTTTATATCAAGTTTTGTTAGTTTAAAACTTGTCAGAGGGATAACCGAATCTGATTCTCCGAAAGTATATTCCCTCGCGCAGCATTAATCGAACACCCCCCGAGTGGACAGGATAGTCGTGGTTCCCAGGAACAGGTAAGCTAACTGGTCGTACCTGACGTCCGTTACGGAGAGGGAGATTTCTCACAGGGGTGTGCGATACGCGAATCAAACGAGAGACGAGAGAAAAGAGAGCAGAGGGCTCGTGCGAAATTCGATGATTCACAGCGGATGACGGGGTGGGTTAGCGACAGGTAGTTCCCATGGGAGGCTCGCACGGTGGATTCCCACAGGAACGAAACCGGCCCGAGTCCACGCGAATTCCGGTCGAGAGATCTCTTTTCACCATCGAGATTCCCTGCCTTTTCAGCTCATTTTCCATACATTCAAAACATACTCCCTTTTCAACTCGACTTCTCTCTTTTATGAATAATTAAATGATCTCTTTACTGTTACATCCTCGACATACGACTAAAACTTGTTCATAAAATATTGAGAAGATGAACTTCGATTGATAATGATATTAGACGAACGCCATTAATGACACTCTATGAATCTGATCGTTTTTAAAACTCACCCGAGTACTCGCAAGCCGTGAAAAACCTCCTCTGCTTAGATGCCGCGGAGAGACTGCTGACGTTGCTGGGCGTGGAAGACGACGAGGACTTCGGATCTTCCTCTGAGGACGAGGATGAGGGCGTCGAACTGGATGAACTCGAGGACGACTTCGAAGAGGAACAGGAAAACGCTAGACTGCTCCATCAACTCGCTGCTTCTTTAGCCAAGGAACTGAAACAATCCTGTCAAAAACCTCGGCGACCCCTGTCCAAAGAGTGGGACAGGAATCAGGTGAAGACGAACTGTTTGGAAGTGCATAGCCGCCTTCAGGATCAGAGCTCGTTCAAGGAAATTCATTATCGTGATAACAAATCTTCGACGAGGGAACCGGAGACGCAGGAGTCGATCCAGATTTACCAATGCAGAGACACGGATCGTTTAAGGATGGACCAGAATCTTGAAGAAAGGGTTCCACCGTCGTCGTCATGGAACGCCGGCTGGGACGCCTGCGCCACGGAAGCCCTCAGATACCTCGTCGAGGACGAAGGACTGCCGCCTCATCATCCCACCATCCTGGCCATGAAGGACCATCTGGATCTGCAGAGAGAACGATCCTTCGTACGGTACACCGCGTAAACCATGAGATTCTAATCGGTAGACTGCGGGTTTCCATGCGAAATAAAACATTCAGGAAATTAAATGTAAATTGGAATTTCCATTATCTTAATTGTGCATCTCACTTTCAATGTTCCGTACGTTTTCGAATAAATTTTTTATATCTTCTATGAATGCATAAAATCCGCAGTCTATTAACCAGTGGAAGCTCATTATAAGTAAGTATTTTTCTTAAGGATTGGCTTTTACGTAGATAAATCCTTGAGAGGATTGAATTTTCGGAAACCTACTCGCTTTCCTATTTTCGTTTTTCAATTCACGCCTGAGTTTTTGCGAACAAACTCGTATTCCATTTTCTACCTAAGCAACGTATTACAATTTTCAATCCTCGAAGAGATAGTTAACGGATTCGTAGATCCGTGGCTTTTCAGGTTCCTACATAGGTACATTGATGATTAGATTGCGGATTTTCATGCAACATCGTAATATCGAACTGGGAATTTCTTTTGTGCATTTCGCTAATAATGCATGAAATCCGCAGTCTGCCGATGATAAAAATAAAAGGCAACTGGAGGATGAACTTAACATCCAATGGCGCGTAACAGATTCCAAGCTTCGCGTTCAATTTAGTTTTTTTACTTCGAACCACTATTTTATTATTTTTTTTTTTAGCACAATTTTTTGTACTCCTTTTCGTTTATCATTTATTACTACAGTATCGTCGCTTTATCATAATTTCTTTTTTAATTATTCATTATTTATTGTACTCTTACCGCGTCTTAGGCTAAGGAAAAATTCTCGCGCTTTCGATCCATTGGACGTTAGATTCACTCCGCGGGAAACGAATGTCAATAAGAAATGTCAATAGTTCATACGCTGGATCGATATGAACGAGGGTAGAAATTTCTTAAATCAACGTCGTGTTCATTAAAAAAGACGTAAACCTGTAGATCTTTATCGCGTTTCTGCACCGTTGTTCTCTGCTTACACCCTCTGACTTAATACTGATTCATTAAAAGTATCTAAGAACGGAAAGTACGTTCGATGGTACGTACTCCAAAACGGATTTAGATCGTCGGAGGGTCGAAAAGCGAGTAAAAACTTACACTACTTTTAGGACGAACCTCGTAGATTATTTCGGAATCGCTCGAACGTCGCATCGCATAATCACCCGTTCTTGACCACTGCCAAGTGCCTCCTCAAAGATCCTTGAACAACCGAATCCTCGCAAGCTTGATTCATTTGAAATCTAATGAATATCCGTCACAGTCTATGTCTATGCGATGCAACGTTCGATCTCGTATATGAAAATAAAGATCCAGTGACCTCGGTGATCCATCGAGAATCATCAGTTTGAATTTTTAAAATCGTCCAGATAGTTTTCAATTAACCGAGTGGTCGACGTTAGATCGATGGAGTGGCCCAGGATCAACGGATTGACCCTCGATCCTGGATCACTCGCTCCAAGAGGATCGGACAGAATTTCTTTTGCGAATCTCGCGAGACTTTCATGAACCACGAGATCGACTTCATCGTCTGTACATATGTATAATATATCGTTTTAACTTATACACGACTATTGTTACTTTTACAATAAATCATTGTAGATAACATTGACCAGTAAAATAAACGAGCGCCGAGTTAATTGATCCGTCTTCGAAATTTTTACTCATCGGTCCCATCTTTCCCTCTCTCCGTGTTATTTTATAAAACTTGCGGGACCGTTGGGCGGGAAGACAATTTTCCAAGTTATCTGCCGCTTCAGCTGCCGTTTTGACCACAGACAAGCGGTAGGGGAGCGAAGGATGAGATCTATCGATGATCGCCGGGAAATACGGGAAGGTAGCATAGGAAACCCATAGGATCTGAAGACGTGGGATATCTGGCACGCGACCAGGTTCAAAAGAATTCGATGGGGCCCAGGATCAGGGCCAGGGGTTTATCGCGGCAGCTTGCCTCTCTACGCCAATGGGGCATCTGGTGTCGGTTCGTAGCACATGCCATGCATCTGCTCCGTCGAGGTACTTTTGTTGTCTTCGACGTTCGTCCGGCGAAAATAAGCTCGAGGCTGCTTGTTACCAAGCGAATCTATGCGCTTTATTCTACGAATCCAAAAAGATTCGATCGAGATATACTTCTGCATCGAGCCGATTCCCATCGATTGCTAATTAGCTATTCGAGAATTTTATCTGTTCTGATATACATTGCTCCGTATTTTTTAATCGCATCAAGGGAAAATCGTATTTCGATTAATCGTACGTTCTCGCGAGCCGAATTCAAATTGTTGTATCCTGAAATTCTAAGTCTTCGAAGAGGCAATCTATCATCGAACCGACGGAAAGTACCGAGCAATCCCGGGACCTGGATCGAAACTTAGAAAGCACTCTGGTTGGAACTTTGCGTTTAACTCCATGGAAACTCGCGAACTCCGTTAAGACCACTCGAACCAAATCTAAAATTCAACTATTTCAGCCCATCCAGATTATTCTAAGAGCTTTCGAACTTCCGAATTCTCCACGTGGCGAAAATATTTTCGTAAGCTTTATTTGAACTAGAATTTGTTGAGGATCAATTCGTTGTGCGAGTTAACGGCACTGCCCGATCTTTAATCATCCCTGGTAACGCATCCTGCCGGGTGTTCCCGAGTGGTCTCTTTTTTGTCTTTTTTCTCCCGAGGCGAAATCGTTTCGATTTTTTGGCCCCGGTTTCTACACGGCAAGGAACGAAACAGCTGTTCCCGCGGCAAATCCGTCGCGTCGTCAGGTGGTATCCCGGTGCCCGTCAGCTGCGGGGGTGAGAATACGATAAAGGGTTGAGGCTTCGTTCGAGGAATGAATTCTTCGGGCTAACTCGCACGGAAAAATTGAGACACGAATATTCGTGGGACCCCGGATCTTCGTCTATCACTTCCTTAATAAATCATGCTTGGCGTTAAAGTATCCCAACGGCAGATGTCAGATTCTTTGAATATCTTTAAGCAGTTCGATATCGCTTCAAAAAATTCACCAAATTACAGGTGAAGCATACACCTGTTGCTTTCTATCTATTCTTGCGCTTTTGTCTTCCGCTGCCCACCGAAGAGAGATTACTAAAGAATGGCAGCTTTATGGGACTTCGTGTCGCACGAAAAAGTCTCCAATTTTTACTGAACGGTGCTAAACAAAATTTCGAAAAATGTTTGAAATAGAAGTTGTTTTCCTTCTAACTTCGATATTTAACGAGTTACGTATGATTATTTGGCATTTTATTGATATTGACAAAATCCGACCATTTCAGCGTCGAAACGGCGAACTTTTGGCAACAAAATTTGTTTTTCCTTAATTACCCCTAAACCGTTGAATCTACGGGAAAATTGTATAGGACCTTTCTTGTAGAGGACGACGAGATCTACAATTTCTGTATAAAAGTTTTTCGCTAGCATTAATATTTAACGAGTTATTGACAAAAAACGAAAAAACAGTTTTTTGTAAATTACTCGTTAATTATTGATGCTAGCGAAAAATTGTTACATGGAAATTGTAGATCTCGTCGTCCTCTACAAGAAAGGTCTTATCCAATTTTTCCGTATCTCCAACGGTTTGGGAGTTATTGGCAAAAAACGAAAATTTCGCAAAATCTGAAGGGGTACCCCTTGGAAAAATCTCGGAAAAATCGGAAATTGTTGTTGTTGTTTATTATTAGCAATGTTCTTTCGACGTCTGATTTCTTTTTAAAAAATACGTTTCTAAAGTGCATAAACTTTTGGGATTGACTGTATAGCCAATACATCCTTAAATACTGAAGTTAGACGAAAAATGCATAGAACCTTTCTTGTAGAGTATGTCAGTATCTACAACTTTTATTTGAAGCATTTTTCGAAATTTTGAGTAAAAAAAGTTTTTATTTTTTCGATACTGGAGTTAAAAGGAAAGAGCGATCACCGACTGTGTTTCGAGCCCTATTGGGCCTCATTCGCTGTCCCAACGATTACACGGGCACTATCACTTTACAGTATTTTTTCGGTGCTCTAATTAAAGCGTGAATAAATGCATCTCGCGTTTATCCTCTAGGCAACCAAGTCATCTCAAACAAAATGAACGCGGTCAGTACGAAGCGCGAAAGAGTCTATCTCCTCGTCGTTAACCGAAGATAAATCTTTATTCATCCGAGGATAAGAAGGTTTGTTAAAAAATTGAATGCTGATCTTCGAGGCATCTACCCTTGTAACGCGTTAATTAAACCCGGGAACCGGTTATGAGGCATCCTCGTCGAAATCGATCAGAAAGCAACTTTATCAAATGCATACTACCCCTGGCAAAAAGACACTGAATAAGAACACTTGAAAAATAAAATGTTTCATACATTTCATCACAACTACAGTAAGCACGAAAACTCTTCATTTTTACCAGGAAAATGTAGCAATTCGATGTTCCAACGACTGAGAAGGAAACGCGATCGGCACGAGCCCGATCCTAATCGAGGATTCCTTCCTGGCAGATGTTTCCTTTTTCATTTTCCAAACCAATCCCGTTTCATTTCCCCTATACGGATTTTAATAATTTTTTTGCTTAGATCATTTTGGAAATGCTTATAGAGTAATGATTGTATGGATATTATGACCGATTGCAAATGTGGTCATTTATTATTTATGTTCGAGTCAGAGGAAAGGTGGGCCGAACTCTACGACACGGTTAGTAGGAGCCGGCAGATGTATACTTCCGGCAGCTGTTAAGAGCATCGTGTGCCTGTACGCTGCACGCGCCGATTGCCCATTAAAGAATAGAAGCAGCTGGAGATTCGATCGGAATCAATTTTCTGAACCATTGTTTCCTCTAAAAGTCTACAAAAATCTATGAACTTACAACGAAATAAACGAGATTCTTTTCTTATTAATCAATTTCACATCCATGATACTTCATGTATGTTTTTTAACACCTTGCACACGCCGCAAATATCTGGTGCAAAGCTTTTAGCCGTCTCTGCGTTCCACAAATAAGTTCTTCTATCTTGAAAACTTGTATCGTAATTATAAAACGACGATAAAATCATTAGTGAGTCTGTTTGAAGGATTATTCCAAGTTGAAGAATTTGTCCCGAAAGAGTCGGGAATTAATTTTGGAAGGGTGTTCCCGGGAGATCCGGGCGTATTGTGCACGGAAACAGCAATCGTCTCCGTTCGAAACGTCGTCGTAATTACGGCATAATTCGAACGATTCTATCTCGCATCTGCATCAGCGTGCTACGAGATTCTCGGACGTGGCAATTCAGCCAATTTACTCGATTCCCTCGACGTACCACAATAGCCTGCGAGGAGACCTCGCGACAGTATGGACGTGGAATGCCCGGACGGATTAAATGGATCCCTCGTTTTCTAAGCTACATCATATCTACCACGAACTGTCCTCTACATGAGGAAATACAAATATGTAACGAAAGAGGTGAATAGAGAAAATTGATAATCCAAAATTAAAATCTAATTAAAACTGCAAGAGTCAAATTAAAAGAGAATCACTGAGACCTCCGAGCGGACTTTTTGAAATATACATATTTTTGTAATGTGGAAAATCAAAAGCTGACATATTTAAGTGATGAAAAAATGTTTACCTAAAATTTTTTAAACCGATACGACTAATGTTTTATTTTCCATAAAATCTACCGGAAGCTCTGCGCTCTAGCCTGGATCGAAACTCGAGGGCATAAAGGGAAAAGGGTAGACACCCTGGGTGCCCTCGACTAACATTTTCCCCCCATATGGCCGGCACATGTGGGTCCCCGTGGAGGGGGGCATAGTAATCGGGAAACCAGCTGATGGTCGCCGTTTCTCGGCCTTCTTCAGTTACCGTTGGACCGTGCCGTGCTTCGTTCAAATCCGGCGTACCATCGAAATATCTCTGATTTCCTCGATAAATTCCACGCAAGGAACGACCTTAACCCGTTCCTAAACTGGACCAGGGAGCACGAGGAGAAGGGATAAAATAGGAGCTGAGTCGAGGTGAGTTCATTGCCTTTAAAATTAGTCCGATACATTTATGGTTGTACTACCTCCGGGGAAAATGTAATAACAGATGAGCGAAGCATGCGAAGTTTCAATTTCCATGCTACTGCAATTAATTGTCCTCCTATTTTTATTCTTGGAGATTCTTATTACTGTATTGTTTGAAAGCCTTTCGCCAGGGGTTGTTTCAATCTCGAATTCTGTTGCATCGATTAAATCTGAAAGTTTTGTTGCCTGAATGAAAAACTTTCCACTCTGGCATTAAAGATAAGAATGGTTTTCAATCTCGAAGTTCAAAGTTTAACTGCTAGTCGTTAGCTCGTTTTAATAGGATTTTTTTTACTCCGAATAGCGCAATTAGCGCTGTATGAATTAAACTTGTTAACTGCTCCTCGAAAGTTTCGAGATTACTACCAAGGTGGTATCAGACAAGCGTTACAGCTCGGGAACTTCGAAGACAGAACGAATTTCCATCTAAAGATGAACATTTTTAGAAGGCAGAAAGTCGGATTCACGGTAGCTCGTTAAAAACTGCGATATCAGAAAAGTTTCGAGTTCTTTGAGCGCCGGCCAACTTGGCTTGCGAATTTTCGAACAAGATAAATGTTTATCGTTCCACGGAACGGAAGAAGTTCGAGTAGAGCCCCAGAGTCTTTTCGGAAGTATCGTGACCCGTGCTTAAAAAGTTCACAAACGTAAATAAGCGAGGGTAAACTTTCTTTTTTCGTTCCCCGGCCATAAAGCTAACAATTCCAGCGTTATGAGTTCGCCGTTTATTGTCGAACCAATAGAAAACTTCGGCGATATTTTTAAAAGACGATAACTGTATTAATATGCGAGTTTATAGAAAAATTCAATGCGCAGAATGTAACATAAAAATATATAACAATATTTAAATGATGAATGAGGTTCCCATTTAAATTTCGCGTTTGCATGATTGAAAAAAATTAGGTATAAACGAGGATCAGGGTGTGGGGGGGGGCTTAGTAATTTTGGCCATTGAACCTCGGTGGTTGCTGGCACGGGGTTGAATCTGGCGACGGGGGATGGGAATCCTTAGTAACAGTGTAATGTCGAGTATTGATTTCGAGGGACTGGTCTTTAGGCTTGTGTTACATGTGTATACAAGACGTCCTACAAACATCGGTCAACCCTGAGCAAACGAGAGAAACTCGTGATTAAGCTGCAAAACGTCGAGAGCAAATTACTAGAGAATCTCAAGACTACTAATGATCAAACCGACAGTAAAAGAGTGTCAACAAAAGCAAAATGTATATCATTAGAATTAATCATCGCCATTTTTTCTTTGAAAATCAAGAAGCGACTTTTAATCGGAGTGAAAAGAAGTGTAGCTGAGCAATTCAATAACCACGCAACTTAAGAGCTTGCACAATTAGCAAATGGAAGAGCGAGAGCTTTCGATTTAAAAAAAACGACTGGAGACAAAACAGGAAACCGTGCACCGTTAAGATTTATTTATAGACTGTACGATTAGCAATTAAACATAATTAAAAATTCTCGAGCAACTTGAGAATCGTTTCTTTTTAATGCATTTACAGAAACTCGAATTGCATAATGTAAGGAGATTGCAGAATATATGAGGATTGAATTAAATTTCAGATGATACCGGATACGGACAGCATTTGTCAGAGTTCCGAGGCTGCGGTGAAAAGCACGGACGCGTTGTATCGGAAGATTAAGGGCAGACCGGAAGGGGAAGCGGCCTCGGTCACCGCCTGGGAACGATATCAGCAACTGGTAGCGGTCGTCGAATCCAGAGGCGGAAAGTTCAACCGGAAGTCGCTGATCGAGGCAATCTTTCGCGGAAACGATCTCGTCTACGCGAGCCACTGATCTCGAGATCTACTCTATCCGATCGAACATTATAATCTTACCAAAGCGAGTTTTAGTAGTTAGTTTTACGAGTACGAGTACGAGTACGAGTTATAGTTTTTATGCAGCGACGTGGAATTCAGAGTTCTCTCTCAATCGATGGACTGAGGATATTTAATATAAAGAACGCAACTGTTGTTAACAGTCTACGGTCTATCGATTAATATTAAATAATCGGAGAACGTTGAGATAACATTCCCGTTATCTAACGATCACAAATCATGCGATATTGGACTAACGAGAATCTATTAAGTAATCTAACGCAATCGAAAATCTTCATCGTATGATCTATGCGCTTACCTCGATCGATCGATGTCACCAGTTGTCATTGACTAACGATTAAGTACACGAATCTTTTCGATGATCGAGTTTCCACGTCGCCAATCAGCATAATTTAATTGTTAACGATGCCAAAACTATGTATTACTAGTCAACACGGCGCAATCGCAATAAGACGCGCTGCGTATACGATTTAAGTAGGTATAATTATGTGAAAACGGAATAAGCGATGTGTAATAACTGCGGTCGATGATCATTGAGATTTATCATGATTTCATCGTGTTGCAAAAACTGTAAAAAGTTTCTTCTCAGCGTGATAGAACTATATGAATGTAGAAACAAACTTCCTTTTTATAAACAACAATTATAAAACTATGACATAAACTCTTGACGTGTTGATGCGTATTATTCTCGCGTGTCTCCTCGACTAACAGGGGATCCAGTGGAAGGGATTAGAGGTGCGAGCACTTGCTTCCACGCACGCTCGTAGTATATTTAATGAGTTAAATAGTTCCGTACAAATGTACAAGATATATACAAAAAATAAGCGCTCGATCTCCATACAATAAAAATGCTTCTAAAGCGTTCTTCTTCACGTACATATACAAATGTGGAAAACAATGAGAGCACATATTTTCCACGCGTTATACTCCATATGGACAGATTACGATGCTAATGAATCGTTTTACTCGAACGAGAAATCGTTCATGTTTTGCATTCTCTTCCTTCTCCTTTGGTAACTTTTTATTAATTGTCATTCTGATCGCGACGATCACGTAAATTTCAAAGAATGTTTAAGCAAACCTTGCGGAGATCGTTACCGAATGGAATTAACGTGGAATTTCTTTAACTCATAGCATTCCTCCTAACTAACTTTCCAACTTGACTGTGACTTCCGCGCAAGCGTTATATAATCTTGTATTACCGATCTCGATCGCTGCGAATTACATTGATTTCTCGTTATTTTCGAATAATGAACTTCTATACGATATCCGTTTTCAAAATCCTAGATATCCTCAAAAAGTCGAAAAGAATTTTATTTCGAAAGAACACTTTATAGAGCCTCTCCATTGCTCTTGTACCAGATTTAAAAACGTCTCTTCCTTGTTCACAAGATTCAACCAAGTTTCCTACAACGAATAGTTTGTAGCTACACTTCCTTCCCTAACGTCTTCGAACCTATTTTCATCTTCGTTCACCAAAAGAAATATCGAAAAATCCTATATTTCGATCTCATATAAAGTCGGTGAGAAAAATCTTTTTAAAGTCGGGCACGGATCCGCCAATATCGTGTCTGCAGATCTCCCCGTTGTCCAAGTAACTGACGTCCGAGTTCCTCAGGGTATTTTTCAGGCTCTCGATTGACAGATTCGGAAGCATCTTCCGGTCTGCGAGTTTGTCGAGGTCGTTCATCGAGTAGCCGAATCCTATTCTCTGTTTCTTCAACCGATACGAGTGCACGATGGGCTTCGCGTTCGACAGTTTGCTTTCCTCGTTGTTCTCGATGATCCTCGGCGTGAAAGATCGCATGTTGACCTTTACCTCGCCAGCTCTCTTCGGGGGCAACAGTTCCACCTGTAAAACAGCTCGTTCTCACGATCCTCCATTATGCAACTGCCGATGAAAGGCCGCGATCGGGCGCGAGCCAAACGATTCCAATTCCTTTCAGCGCTTTTCTTCGCGCAACTTTCTTGGTTGGCTCGATATTTTCATAGCAAGCTGTCGCGCAGCTCCGTGCTGGGAAGGTTGAGGTAAGCAAAATCTTTATGCTTTATTTATCCATGCAGGATGAGATGGAAATCGTTGATGGCGAAGATTTTGTTAGCGAATTTTGTAGTACAGAGTTAGGTGATAGGTTTGCAAGCTGAGGTTTAATAGGGTTTTCGTGATTTTCTTCTATGTTAAATGGATCAACGGAGGATCGTCACTTGCGTGGTTGTTAAGTTTTGTTAGCGAGTTCAATAGCGGAGTTTCGTGCTTAGAGTAAGAAGTAGCGATAAAAAGATCGAAGAGAAATCGCAGTCAGAAGCAAAACTAAGCTGTCCTTAAACTATTTGCAGTTCCCCTTCATATTCCCCCCAAAAGTTTGCGCTTTATGAAACGCTCTTTTTAAAAGCCAGAGACAAATAATTGCGAAAACGAAATGGCAAACGAAAAAATTGCAAAAGATTGACGATACGAAAGGGTGCTGAAAATGTTACCTTAGTTTCCTTACGTTGAAAGTACTCGAAATCATCGTTGGCCACGGTGGTCACGGAACAGCAGCTCCTACTTCGACTCCTACAGGAACTCATCGTGTCGAAGTCACCGTTCTCCAGGTCGCAACTCTCATCGTCCGAGGTCTCGTATCCATCCCCATCGTCCCTTGGACTTTGTTCGTTCGCTTTCTGTATGATTCGTTGGTCCCTCCTCTGATCTTGCTTCTTCAAATCGTACGTCCTCGTGTCGAGCATCAGTCGATGGTAGCTGGAACAATTTTCCATTCCACGTTTCAACAATTATGATCATAGACGATTAAAACTGACATAAATTCTTTTGATTCTTTCGCTTTATAATAGCAACCAGAAATATAGGAATACAACTGCTTACGATTGACATTTAGCGTGATCGAAGCTTTGATTCCTCCTGAGAGCAACTCTGGGATATCTTTGCTCCTGGAAATCGTTATCGAATCCAGCGATCAAGTTTTCCAATCCAAGTACGCTCCTCGCGTGCCTCCTTGGTGGTTCCTCGCGAATCTCGTCCAAGCTGTTGGCGAACTTCCGTTTACTGCAAGGATCCTCTAGTTGCACCAGATTCTCCAGATTTTGTCCGAACACGTCGGTGCTACCGATTTTCCGACGGCTTCCAGGGAATTCCTGAAAATACTCGTTCGGCCTCGGTCGTTTACTTGCTGATTCAACGTTCCTTTTAGCAGTTTCGATCCCGTTCGTCTCGTGACGAGGTTCGAAGGTCGAACTGGCGAAAGAGGAAAGCTCCGCGGGAAGGGAAGCGTAATTGCCGTCTTCGTTCAAGGCCTGAGTCCTAGCATACTGTTGTATACCCATCGTGATCGTGCCACCGGTCTTGCCTATAACACGTTTTCTTCTTCTTTTAACATTCGACATTTTAATTCGACAAATCGCACGCGAACGAGCATATCTATCGATTTCCCGTTCTAGCAACAGCATCCATGATTCAACATATTTGCTTGGAGCAAGCGGCGATCTACTTTCCCACGGCAAACAATTACAGACAAAAATTGTTAAGTGAGGAAAATCGGTATACCTCTGTTCTGGTGACTGTGCAAGCGTCCGTAGAGGCTCCCATTAGTCAAGGGGAACTTGAGCCCGTGGTTCAGGTTCAATTGCATCTTGTACTCGGCGTCTTGCTCGAAATGGCGAAACTTACCATCAACACCGCCTGCAGCAGAATTAGACAGATTTTTTTCGCGAAATCGCATCGGAACGGCGGCCAACAATTTCTCTTCGCGGATTCTTGCGAAAATTCCCTTCGCCGCGATCTATTAGCGCGCCTTGAAATGGAACGTACGGTGAAACTCGCGATAAATCATCCAAAAGGTAAAAATAGTTCCGACGGTAGAAACGCGTACGTTGTATGCGATATATTATACAATCGTAATATCGTTCGTTGCGTTAGTTTTCATTACTAATAATTGCAATTAATTTATATTTGTTACGAATGCCTAATAGAATAACAGTGATAAGAATCGTTTCCGTAGATAAGAGATTTTAATATCGAGTAAAAGAGAAACGGAATCGGTATGCGGTTAGGGGAATTGCAAAATTGCGATGAAACGCATAACTGATATTTCTGCCCGGTTACGCGTCCGATGCATCGGCGGTTTCCCACGCGAACACCGCGAATCGATGTCATCCTCCTCCTTCGACCGTGACGTCGAAACCGATCGAATACCCCTGTATCTTTATCACGGTTCCCCGATCCGCGAATGCAACGTATAGAGCTTATAACTATTTACCGTGAGACAATCTCCTCGCGTGATCCTGCTTCGTGTATACCTTCGCCACGTAGCGGCAGAACATTTTGTCGAACAGGGCTAAGAAAACCGGGAGCAGAGTGTCCTTCACCAAGGGTAACCAAGTCGCCAGATTTTGGGGCGTGCAGAAATCCCTGAGGACACTCGGCCTCACGGACACGATCTAAAAACCAAAAAGAAGATCGTAGCATTACTTATCCAAAAAACCTATTGATAGTTTGTTAGGATAAAACCATGAGTATTAACTGAAAGAGATCTGAACCCTTTCGTCTATTTCGAATTGAATTATAAGACTTCTTAGTTAAATTTTGTGAGCAGATCTGGATCATATTGAAAACGTAGAACAAGGCGTTACGTTGATCGCAAAAAAGGGGTGCGCTTTCGAAAGCGCGTTTTCACCGCGTGAAAATTTCCCGTGTATGCCTCGTTGAAACTGAAAGTCCGCGGCTACGTAAGATGCACCGCGTTTCGACGTTTCCCTCGTTCGCTCTTTTTCATCGCCTCTCCGTTCCTTTCGACGCGACCACGAAACGCGTCTCCCGTTTATCGAACGCGAGTACCGCGGCAAAACGAGCCGGATAATTAGCGGCATGCGATGGCTAGCATTCCAGCCCGGCGAAAGCCGTTCGCTCGATCTCTCGTGGAAATCGTCGATGTCCTGGGGAAAAGCGGATAAAAGCTTCAAGAGGATAAGGAACAACGAAAGATGCTCGTATTCGGATAAAATAAAATAAAGTACGCGTAATATGGTTTGAAAAAAGTGTCGAGAAATCCTGACGCTTATGCAATAAGGAAAGTTGATAGTCGTGCACGGTGCATGGTTGGCTCTCGGCTAGCGAAGTTAACGACACGATCGACGCGAGAAAAAGGTTTTCGGTCGCTTGGGAAATCGCCGTACTTCATACGGAATTATGAGAAATAAACAACGCGTGAGAGAACAAATCCTGCGATTTAAGGGATTTTATGCATTCATCAATGAATTGAACGTTTAGAATTGGGAATCTTGCGTACCTGTTTGATATGAAAAGTGAATGCACCTAACAATGCTCGAATGACAACAGATATGCAATTTTTAAATCATCTACTACGAATATTTGTCTACGAAAACGAAATTGTGCGTACATTACCTTAATTGGGGAACGGTACGCGAGGAGAATGCGCGCGATGCTCGTCGAAAGCGACTCTCGAAATACATAAGTAGAACGTACATGCGTATCTGTTCTATTAACATAGTGAAACCGTTTTACGGTCCATCTAATAAAGTTTCAAATTTCACTCGAACTACCCGTCGAGAGGAAAGAAAATCACTTCGCTACTCTACGCTAAGACACGCGGACTTGAGTAGCAATCGATGATGATCTATTCGTTAACGGATCTCGCCTCTATCTGTTATCGTGTATTTATCGGGCTTCGCAATGAACATTCTACTTGAGATGATCATGATCAACGATTTATACCTCACCTTTTTTAATCACCGGTTGGAGAACGCGAGAGCGTCACGGTTTCGCTTAGAATTCTCGCGGTTCTGGCTTTCTTCGCGATCGAGGTCGATTCGGTTGACAGCTGCTCGGGGTGCCGAGAGGAAAATACAAGAGATCGAAATTTGTGCGCGATTCGCTTCCGAGTCACCGTTCGGGTCTTCGCTCACTTTTTACGTTCGTTATTACTTGAGGTCGATGATCGCGGCAAACGTATAATACCAGGATTAAGTCTATGCCTGTTCTAATCTCATGTTTTTTTATAGTATCTTTCCTAGCTCTGAAAATTCTATTACAGTATTCTTTTTTTACGGGTGATAGAGATTTGAATGCCTGTGTCGTATCGATCTATTGAGAACGAGTTTATTTACAATGAATCCGAAAAATCTGCTACGTATTGCGATGGATTATCTTTATGTCGATGATGCGTCGCAACCTAATTCAGAGAGCCGATAACAAAAACGGAATACGTCACGCGATCAATTATGAATATTAAACGGAAGGTCGAGTAAGTTTCTCCCGAGGCGAACTTCCCCGTCGAATCTTAATGGACTACGATATCGAGGTCTACCGTATTTAGTTCGCACTTTCGAATACCCGAGCCCCTTTTTTAGCGTCCCCCTTTTTTGTATTCATTGCGTCGCACATCCTTGAATACAATTTTGATACCAGATACGGAATATTCTCTATTTACGAATAAATTGTTATTACTATAAAAAACTGGATTGTTCGTTTCGATGATGAACGGAACTCCGGTGTAGGGAGAAAGAGAATGAAACCGGTGATTCGTTCGCTGAACTCGAGCAAGCTTCCGGTTTTCAAGGGTACCCTTAATTACTCACCAAAGGATTTATTCCGTATTCAATTATTGCACTCCACTTTAACGAACGAATCGAATTAGAAAGTTAAACATAAAGCAAGTTTTTAATCGAAAACGAATCAGATTCGATGCTCGTAACGCTGTCACGGTTCGTTGCTCTATTACGAAATACAAGTCTTACATTATCTTTATCGATCTTTGATCAAAAAAAGAGTTTTCCATCGACTATAATAAATTGACTGTAGAACGCATACGAATATTGAATCGATCAAAGTTTTTTAAAGGTGATAACACGTGAGGGCAGTACTTACCAGAATGGGGATGTATTGGAACGCGTAGCAAACGAAGAGTATGCTATAGATCGTTGTTCTCCCACTGGCCTCGTCCACCTGGACTCTCTTTTTCCTTAAACAGGCCCTGCTGTTGGTGGACCCGCTGGTGCACGAGCCACTAGAAGGGTCCCACTGCTGGGGATGGCATTCGAAGGCTCCCGACGAGTTCTTCGAGCTCGTCTCCGAGAGATCGGAAACTGATTTTAGTAACTCCGATTTCGGTGGCCGGCAAATGCTCCTGAGCAGGGCCGTGGTTAAGCTAATCGTAGAAGCTAACAGCAAAAGAGATCGCAAGGATATCACGAAGATCCCGTATTTAAACGAGATCTCCTGCGCCAGGAATACGCAGAGGTCTGGCTCGAAGTTGAGGACACCGGTGACACCGATGCAAGCGCTGATCACGCTCAAGCTGACCAGGTGGTACTTGAGATGGTTCTTGGTGATGTTCGAGCTTCCGTCCCGAGTGGTGATCGCCGCGAACGCTGCGATCGAGGTCAGGGTCAGCTCCTGGAGAATGCTCGACGAGTTCAGCATCCAAACGAGGGTCGAACAGAACTCTGCGAATCACAGAATCCTTCTCTTTACAAGCTTTTATTCGACTCTGGTCGTCAGTTCGTTAGTCGGTCAGCCTGTTAGGGTGCGGTGTATTATGGATCTATTTCGATCGCATATCGTTTCTTCAACTCGGATCGGAGAATCGATCGATGCCTCGTTTTCGTGATTTCCTGCGTGGTATACGTTACCTCCAAAGTGATTGCTCGGTCGGATGAGTGTAAGAATGGCATAGGAGAGCAATCCCAGTTGGTGCGCCAGACTCTGAGAGAGCACGGCTACCGTGAAGACGTCGATCCTTCTCTTCGCGGAAGATGGCTGGTTCTGATAAATCAGAAGCGACCAAGATAGCAGCAGGATGCATATCGGTGAACCTACGCAGGTGGGCAGCCATTCTCCTACCTCGCTTCGCATCTCTGTAATCAAACATTTAAGAAAAGTAAGAAATAAGGCACGGAAGGAGCAGCGAGAGAGAAATTATATTATTATGAATTATTATTGTAATAAATGTTTCGGAAAGAGTTCTCAGGCAGTGAGAGTGGCGATGCCTTAATCTCGATGAAAGCTCCGTGTAATTAGCGTCGCGCGCGACGAATTATTACGTCCCCGAGAGAAGGAACGGGCAGATTGTTAATCGACGGTTTATTATCGCGGAAGGAAGAACGAGATTCTCGGTTGGTTTCACAGGTAAAACGTCAACGAAGAGCGATGCATGCTTGCGCGCGTAGAGACATTTTTCTTCCTCGTTTCACGCGTCTGTTTCACGTGCAATCGATCGCCGGGCAACTTTCTATTCCGCGTGCACAGTACCACAAATTTGAACGCATTTATAACATAATCGGATGTATAGAATGAGAATATATCTAAAGCAGATTTTCAGAACTGGTACCGTGAACGTATTATTTTACTTGAAAATCTGTGATCTAGTAATGCCATCCGCGAGGAAGTGAAATTGGTTTAAAAGTAGAAAAGCTACCGGAAACTGGGTCGATTCCCTTTCCACTGATAACAATGTTGTTTCGAGGAAACCAGTCCGAAGATCTTGTCTCTATTATTCTCGGCTCTTTTACTGGATGCGAACGTTGCTGCTGTTTTCTGCCGGAAGTGGGTTACGAGGAAGAAAGTCGAAAACACGCGCGGATAATACCGCGCGAAAGGAATTTACTTTCGCAGAAATTCGGAAGGGTGGGTCAGCGTTTACTCTCTTCATCGAGAGACTGAACAAGGTGACTGGCTATGAGCTAAACTTGCAAGGCTCGAATTCTTTCCCTAAAAACGATAAGATTTTACGAGAAATTCCTCCGGACCAGTCGAGAAACCAGTTTAGAAACCGACTGGTGTATACTTCCCGATAGAAGTTTAAACGCGACGAAAGAAAAAGGGAGAAAAATGATCTCGGCAGTCCGAATACAAAACTGTACGAAGTAATTGCTAATCGAACGCACATTTCTATTATTCACGCATCTGTATAATTCGATCAGCCTGCAATGCCGAAGAATTATTATTGACGAACCATGCCAAGCGTTGACTTAAGCCTGATCTGGTTGACCCTAGCTCTGAGCAATTCGTAAGACCTGTACTGTTCGAATCCCGAAAAGGGAGACTGTAAAACCGACAGTGAGAAGATCGATTTCGCTCGCGAGGGATTTAAAATAACTCGCGCGGCAAGTAGTCAACGGGTTAAAAGCCATGCACGCGCGCTCAACTGGTTTGTATCAGGCGGTAAAAAATGTTTCCTCGCTTTGATCGAGGAAATCGAGCAATTTCACCTATTTAATTGTATGAACGCGTTCTTGTTCAAACGTCTGCGATACGGCTCGGTTTTATCAGTACCTATACCCAGCTGTTCGAGATTTAATTACGCGTAGCTCGTACGAAGGCGAAGCGGAGGTAACGGCAATTCTCGCAATTACCTTTAGCGAGATAAAATTACGTTTCATGATTGTGACCTCTCGCCAATTAGGGCTTCGCTCTGTCGAGCAATCAGTCGACCTACGTGAAAACGATATCGCGGTGTCACGGGGTACAACGTATCGTGGCCTCGGTAAAACTGGATGCTCTAACTCGGTCATGTGTGAAACTCTTACCGCCCACTCTTTTCACGGTATCGTTTCCTCTTTATATGCTCCCGTCTCTCTTCTCCGGAGACTTCGAGAGGACCCCGGCCTCCACCTTGAAACCGCTTCTCACGATACGATTATGCGCGATCATCCGGTCAGAAATTTTGTTTACATTACCTCGTTTCATCAAATATAATACGTAGTTACTTATGAATGAAATGCACGAACTTTGAACGTCCTAAATATGATAAATTGTGCCGCTATTTTTACTTTTTAAGGGATCTTACCTAACTGTTGCGTTACTCGACTTTTTGCCGAGAGTAATACGTGATCATGCGATCCGCTTCCACGGAACTTGAAACGATTTCATGATTCACGAATCCTAACTATTAAGAAACTACCGATGAACGAGGAGAATGATCTGTAACGAGCGCGTGTCCGAGCTCTAACTCCGGAGATAATTCTAGCGAATTAGAGGGGTCTAATTCGAGTAGTTGGCACCGGTGCACCGTGGTAAACTGCATGGGCAAAAGTGGGTTACGAATACCCACGGCGAGAAAGTCACCGATCTGTCCCGACGTCGAGGAAAGATTAGGCGCGGCCGGTTTGCATCGGCGATCACCGTACGTACGTACCTACGTACGTACGGTTCAACGTACTACCCAGACCGATCGTCTCCGCGTAGATTTAGGCCGGCCTCCCGCTCTACGGCTTCGGAGCATCGATACTTTTTGCACTCCACCGCGGTGTCGAGTACGCGCGTGCCAAATTCCAAACGTAACCGCTATGGTCTATGCACGCTGTTTCGAGGTCAGGGAAGAACGGCTATTTCTCGGGATAGGAATCTCCTCTCCTCGTGTCTTTACATCCTCTCGCGTCGCGTATCTACATTCTGAAACGCGTGGACCATCGGAATTTCAAGTATGAAACTCGCCACGGACGAATGATGTATTAAAACGAAAATTGCTATCTTGAATCTGTGGTACCGGACACGAAATTAGGATACTTCTAACGAGGGCAATTTCGCGAAATTGCAGCGTACCTGGATCGGTGTATCCGATCATTTACGTTGTTATGCTCATTGAGCGAATTAATGCAGCGTTCGTGAAGCCGGTGCAAGGACGCGAGGCGGAGATGTCCTTGATACACCACGAATCATTTCCGACGTTAACGAGGGATGACGAGCGGAAAGAGTAAAATAAGAATTTCTTTGCGAGCTTAAGTATGTATGTACTCACTGCAGAATGTTAATGATTATGCGGAACTGTCGCGCGAGGAATGCAACCGCATCGCTATTTGGAGGAGCCTGCGGATGCGCGCGATCTCGATCGATCGGATCCTCTCGAGCCGGTGCCAACGCGGTTTCTACGCGATTTTCTGCTTCCGCCTCTGGCAAAAAGTGGCTCGGGTGAACAAACCGAAATAATCTTAGCTCCCGCCAAAACCATTTGAACCAACTCCCGCACCACAATTACAGATACCTCCGACCTCGTAGAGTCCATAAATATCGGACCATTTTTTCAAATTGTATGACTGATAGAATCCTACTTTCTTTTTTTAATTTTATTTCGAGTACACGAGTGTGAACTTTCACTGTTTCAAATTTTACTGGTCCTTCTAATCGCGGTCTCAATATGGGCACCAAATTTAACTCGGAATCGCAGTTCCAATGCGCGTAACAAATAATACGAGTTGTCGCCGAATGCTCGTAGGTACGAACGCGTTTTTCGCGGTACCAGCTGTACTCGGGCGGATAATATTGCCGCGAAGAGGCTCGGACCGGGACTGACTAGCCATCGGATTCATTTGGGTCAGCAGCGTAACGTAGTATAGCGAAAGGTAGGAGGACTCCGAGTATACTACTGTCTGTTATACGGGCAAAGTGAAGGTGTGTTATAACGGAGCTATCTTCGCGGTGCGGTATAGTTCGATTCGTATCGCACTAATAAATCCCGTGAAATTCAACCAACTTTCGTTCGAGGAAAAAATAGAAAAAGGAAAGTTTTTTTATGTGGACCGCTTTCCGTGTATCTAAATGTAAAGAGAGGTGCGGTATCGCGTTTTTACCGCGCTTCTCCATGTAAAAAATAATATTACGTAAGTTAGATATAGAATTTGTCGCGTTACGTAAAAGATAGGACTTGAAAATTAACTCACACTGTTTTGAGAGCGAAGCGAAGGAGGCGGAACGTGCAGGAAGACAAAGGTACGTTCTTCGCAGGAACATCCAACATCAACACTTTATTATCACGCGTAATCCATTAACAACTCCTTTGGCTCGCACCCACGTTTCGATAAAAAATATACTACGATCTCGCGAGGTACTTCGGTTCCACTTAATGTCATCGGTCGCGCGAATCAAGATTGATAAAGGAGAGAACTCTTTGGCTTTAACTCGACGTAATACGAATAGTCGAGTCGCAGAACGACGTAATGACCGTTCGCGAAGACTCTCTTGAAAGGATAAGCATTCCCCTGGAACAGGACTGGACAGAGCGGTTGTCTCACGGCTGCTTTCGACGTCCCGTTGTCCACCTGGTCCCACAGATCGATCATTTGGCACCCAGTTCGACTGGAACAAAAAAACGCTCGTTCGTGGATAAGTCGAAATGTCTACTCTAATTCTTGAGTCAGTTTTCCATTACAGATTCGCGTATCCGAAACACTGAGGCTCCTCCAAGACGATGTACTCGACGCTTAGCTTCTTCAACGTGAAGTACACGGACGAGATGTCCTTCCTGCTGAAGACTTCGTAGACCTTCATCGTCCGGTCTCTGAAACAAAAAACACCTGGTAGTTATTAGTAAATGATGACCGAAGATGCCTGGCGATACCTCATCTCCTTGCTCTCGTAGTAAGGGTTGTTCACGATGGGTCTCCCAGTGGAGAGCATCAGGTTCGCCATCAGGGACATCTTCCCGGCAAACACCGCGCGTTCGGGAGTCGACTTCTTGATCCACTCAAAGAGCTCCTCTTGTTCAATGTTGCTGTACTCGCCTTGTCATCGAATTATAATAAGAGCCCGACCGACGTTAATCGGATTAAAGAAGACGGTTCAATTTACCCATGACATTCCGCTCGTCCTGGAACCTGGCTAACCCATAATACGACATCGCCGATATCAGCAAGAGAGTGATCAGAATCCTCGTTGCACCACTCTTAACACCGACCTTCTCCAGATATCTACTCGAACAAACGGTGCCGGCTATGATGCAAAGATGCGGATTCATAAAAAGTTTCAGTCTCATGATGAACACAGCCATAAGGATGAAGGCCCCGGTCTGCAATCCATTGTACGCCACGTCCGCCTCCACGCATTTGGGATATCCTTTGTTCCTGTAATTCCTGTACCAAAAATAGACCGCGAGGATGCCCGCGAGTACAGCAGTCGGCAGGAGTAGCGTCAACGTGATTGTCTCGTAGCTCCTGTATGGAAGAAAGTCAAATTCTGGGGAACAGGTGTACAACATCGTATGGAAGTTCTTGTATCCGGTCAGCTTCGCTCTCAGCAGGTCGAATACGTGCGCGTGTTCCTCGGACAGCATGTTGTAAATAGATTTTAAATATTGGGTGGAAGCGACGGTGAGGACGACTTCCATGGAAGTTTGCAGCTCCGTAGCCAGGAACGGGAACAGTCTTTCTGTCAATAGACTGAAGACGCTGCTAGTAAGTAGAAAACACAGGTACAGAGAGTAATGTAGAGCGGTTCCGTCGGTGATGCACATTGCTATCCCAATGGACCAGGCGTGGACTACGCAAATAGCCAAGTATAAAAAGTTAGAGATTATCTTCATCCATTTTAGAATCAACAACGCGATGATTTGTGTGGTGAACACGTAATGTGAAAACTGCCAGCAACACAGGCTGATCACGGTGGCCATACCCATCATCTGAAATCCGATTACGTTCTTTTTCGTTTCGGAATTCTATATACTAGTTGGTCTTAAACTAGTTTATACTAGTTTCGAGATCCTTACGAACCTGAAGTAAATTTCTGCGCACTTTTTGTACTTCACGTACAGTGCCTTCCCTGAGGATCATGGTCAATGCATACATCTGAGCCAGTAGAGCAGGGTACGCGAAACTTTCCCTAAGAGGTGGAGTCCACTGTACACGAGTGCACTCATCGTGGTTGTAGAAGAAAAGTAACACGGCAATAATACCACTGCTGAGACTGTTCCCCAGATACGCGGAATAACAGAAAAGTACACATGCCGTGAACACGCTGGCGGACCAAACCATTTCTAAGTAAAAATAAATTGGCACCCCCAGTCCTTCGCAACTGGTAACCGGTGACAAACCCTCGCCTCTTTTTATCTAAAAACGATATTCCCCTATCTAGCTCTCTATTGTAAAAGATAACACCTACTGTATATACATATCAAACAGAGATCAATCTCACTTGCCAACACTGCTTAACAAATGTGATGTCCAGACTTTTGGCCCAGTGATAAAGACTCCCAGCTAACAACTATTAATCAAAAACTTTAGCTCACGTGTCACGACGGGTACTATTTTCTGAAAATCGTCTACGATACCTCTGGCAACAAGCTATATTTTCTAGCTGCGTTAATAACTGTCCCGTATTCCGAAATATTGTCGTGAGTGATTTTTCCCAATCCATCCCAGATCGTCTCCGATTCCACGATCGTCTTATAATAAGAATAGTACATCCCCTGAACCGAGACACGAGAAATTTATCGTTTTACGCTCGAATCAGAACAATTTCATTCGCGAATACGTACCATTTCCGTGCGGAAGGACATTTCTCTTTCCATCTCGGACAAATGCGAGAAGTGTCGGTCGTTTTCAAACAACGTAGAGACATGCCACCGGTGAAAAAGGCCGCATGCCAAACCTGTCACGGGAGACGAGAGAGAAGATTTTATGACCAGAGAACCACGTAATTAGTCTTCTTCGTTAGAACACTTCTACCTATTAAGAAACACGCCAAATTGTACGAATTCATCGTTTTCCGACACGATTTCGCGGCACCCGAACAGTTGTTGTAACGCGCACCACCGTTAAGCCGTTAACCGCCATCAACCGCCACTTAAGGACGCGCCGCCATCTGTGGATCGAACTCACGTGACCTCATGCAATTTAAATTACGCTAAGCAGATTTCATTTATAATCTACGAGTAACGCACTAATCAAGATCTGTCATTAGTGTTTTACCAGTACGGAATAGAACATCTTTTTATTTAAATATAACAATACTAAAATATGATTAACGATTAGTAGAAAAATACTGTGGTTTATTTTTTCCTGAGGTATTGAACGGTGTAGCATGCGACATATTTTAGTTGTTGAAATAATCTTTAAGTCTCTTAATTAACTCATCCTTCTTGCCAGTCCTTTTTAGTGGCAACGTCTCTAAAATCATCTTCAATTGCGCTACAGTATAACCGTCTATCTGTTGAGAAGAAAATAAACATTACATACCATATTTTTGAATTGGAACGCCTGTGTTAACTTACTGTATTATTTTTCACGAGCTCCCGTATCTGTTCCTTGCTCATCGTATCGAGTTTACCCGCGGCTTCCTGAATTTTCTTAGATTTCTTCGTTGGTGGTTCGTCACTCTTAAATATTTCATTATATTCTTCCAAAAGATCTTTCACACATTTACGCATTTTTTCGGTTTGTGGAACTGAAATTTTATACATAAGTATAATGGAACTGAAGTGTAAGATCTCGTAAAAGAAAATTTAAGATGAAACTTACGCGTATCGTCAACGATGGGTTCGCTCTTCTCTAAATCGAGAGCTAAAGTTTCGACGGCCTTAAATTGAGACTGAAGTTTGGGATTAGAGCACATTTTTGGTTCATCGTTTATTCCTATTCTTTTTATGATTTCCTCCAGTAGTTCGACTGCCTTCGGACTGAACGGGCACTTCGTCTCGTCATTGAACACGTACTGCGACAATATATCGCTGAGGCTTCGCACGTCCTCTAAAACGAAACGTTTGCATTCGTATCAGGGAACCACGATATGTAAAGCTTGTATTGTTTAAGATGTGCACCTTTGTACGGTATTCTGTATAAATAAAATCCTCCTTTCTTAACGTTTGGTAACATGGTATAAAGTAGTGGGATAGAATATTTTCTTATAGTTACCAAGACTATTATCATTAACTCCTTCTCGTTACATTTGTTGAGCAATGCGTCGAATAACAGAGCATTATCTACGAATTAATAACATATACTTGCAACAGCAGCTCGCAGAATACAATTCCGTAAACGTGACTGATTATTGGTACCTTTTCGAGTACTTTTGTCCGACGGTAAGACGAAATACGGCGTTTCGAAATGGTACAGAAGGTGAGACGAAATAGGTTTCATACAAACTACATCGATGCCTGCTGGTCGCATCGACTTCATGGACCTCTTTTCTCTCGAAGTGAAACATATACTTTCACCACCATATTTTATACTCCATTCAAGATCCGTTGACGCCACAGGCTGCGACGTCTCTATTTCGTCTTCATCGTTTTCATTCTCTTCATCTTCTACTTCCTTCTATGATATTGAAGTGAATAATTGTATCTATTACTCAAACCCAATGAATCATATACAGAATGAATTATTAAAATACATACTGCCACTACATAGCACGTCTTTGAAGTTAAAGGGGCATTAGTTTCTTTGCTCATATTTTCCTTCTTCAAATATTGAGTCTTGCTGAGAACGAAAGAACGATTCAAATTAATTTCGTACATCCATAATTGCAACAATGGATCTGAGCAAGTAATTTCTTACGCAACGAGATTTCGAAGAACCACGTCTATATTCACGTCTTGCCCGAATCTCCACGCAAGTTTGGACATATTTCTGGATAACAATACTACTTGATCCATCAGATCGTTTAGAGACGTTGTCTTATAATTGTCAGCGTCAATATCTCTTGACAATATTTCTAGATCTTTATAAAACAAGTTGTGGTCCCAACTTTCACCTAAACCGACAACAAACAGCTTAATGTTTAAATCATTGTAAGCCTTTGCCTGTGCCCTTATTCTGTGTTTCTCATCGCTAGTTAGCTGTGGATTATCTTGGCAAGTGAAAAGAATTACTCTTCTGAGTGGCATAGTGACATTCTTATCATGGAATAATTGTGCTGCATGCCATAGTACATCATGTAACGGATAGTCAGTTGAAGAAGCTGAATCTCTATACTGTTCCCATTTATTTTTTTCATCTGTGTACAAATACAAACATGTTTAGAAAAATAATGTTTAATAATGTGAATGATCAGATAAAATGGAATAGAAATTGATAAAAGAGTAAACTTATTGATATTAAGAAACTACCTATTTTGATGACTTCTTTTAAACAATCAATTGAAACAGGAAGTAATTTCTGAATGGTCAGTATGTTTTTCATATCACTATTTGGGTCACATTCTTTTGTTCCAAAAAATACAAGACCCATCCAATCTTGCCTGTTCCAACTCAGCTTCTGTTTAAGACTCTCTTTGACACGCTGAATTAAAATGTGACATAAGAAGTCAGTCGCCAAGAATCAATTAAAGAAATGGTTCAATGTAATCTGTACCCTTATAGATTGTACAAAGTACGAGACTTCTTTTTCCTCAGGCCGATCACGGCTATGATTTTCAAACATCGGTGGACTTGCGTCCACGATAAAAAGTGTTCCATCTCTGACACCGTATAGTTCATTGAGATCAACAACAGCTTCTTGCGATTCTTCGTTATACGACGACATCGTACTTAACGTATTTGCAATGATACAATTAACGCATGGGAGCAAGAATAAGAGGATGGAGGATATAACTGAGGAGGGTCAAGCTGCAACCGAAAGCTAACGCCTCTCAAGATTTCGTAACAGTTGACCCATTAAAAGGTTACACAAAACAGTAGAATAGACCGTTAAATCTAATGAATGATCCGCTGATAAATACATATACGCACGAACAGCACGAATAAGTATATCGCGAGCGGTGGTGGAATAGATCCAGAACACGAGTATGCGCCATGCGCACGACAAACTTGGCAAAGAGAATGACGTATGTAATATGTATGTATGCATATGCATAGGTAGTAAAGTGTGGAGTAGGGGCTATCGGAGTATAGAATATAAAGAGTACAGACTATAGACTAACACGGGCTCGAGTGTAACCTTGATCCGTAGCCCATTGCAGCCTCTCTCTCCCTTTACCTCGCCATCCTCCCGTCTACTATCCACTTCGTACAATTTCCAAACTCAACCCAGCTCTGATCATTTCGGGACTCGAGCCTCGAAGCAAAAAACCGATGTTACTAGCGTGCAACGTGTCATCCGTTGGAATACAATCTTATCACAAGAAATCGCGAAGTACCGAGTGAAATCGTATCACCGTATGCTTGTTCACCGTTTTGCGGGAGGAAAGGGGACCGGGTGAATAAGGAAGTGGCGAATGTATTATCGATTCGCCAGAGAGCTCACGAGTTAACGGTTTGTTTACACGAGCGTGGGGGAAAATACGCATGCGCCGCAGAACCAAAACAATAATAAGAGACTAAGGTTTGTCGTTGGCCGACGAGGCGGTCGCTCCGTGTCTCGTGTTCAACCGTTCGACGGGTTCGACGCAAGAACGTTACTTTCTGATCCGTTTAATTCGAGAGTGTGTTCAATCAACGAAACAAAAAACATAGAAATATCGGTTTCCTGAACAAAGCAGACGATTTCTCCGAAGATCGTAAATACCAGTGCGACGACCAGCCGAACGGACTGCAGAACGAGGGCCAGGCTTGCGTCAAAACGTATATTATTGTGCAACGACGAGTGCGTGCTTGTACCAAAATGTAATACCGCGACGGTGAGATAGAGATACGTCGACGTCGATGTAATCGCAAGCTTCGTTGAACGTAGACGAAGATTTGTACATGTACAGTCGTTTCGAATGTGCACTTTATGTGGTTGTGCGTGAATGCAATCACAATCTACGTGTGCGCGTTGACCGGAGTGTACTCATTCAATTCTCCGAAGCCAAAGTTATACGAGCAAAACTTTACGCGATACGTTCTGACATCCGAGGAAGGGAAAGGCTTCTCTTGAAGAGGGGGCCGGATAGGTGGTGCGTATTTACCCAGTGAATCACACATGATTGACTCCATGCGATTACGAGACGCCGCTGGTAGTTTAGGTCATCTATGTTTACGTGAACACTTCTAAATATACTCGTAAACAAACATTGATGTCCACTTACACAGAGGAACTCGCTTAGCTGCTAGCAGGTTCAGCGAGAATACGAGTTTTCCTCTATCTGTTCGAGTTAAATAGCCACGTACCTCGCTGCCACTGCTGCCGCTGCCCGTTCGTTAGAAGAAGACAAATATTCGCTGTGTCTTGCGAAAAGCGAAAGAAAGGAAGAGAACAATAACACGTTGCGTCGGTCGAGAGAGCGTGGCTTTATTGCGCCCGCTGCTCGCCTGTATCGTGGACGTGGAGGTGTAAACACGACCGTTGGTGCCATTGTCCTTTTGCTTTCGCAACCGGCGAACAGGGGAAGTGATACATTCATTGCGTACGCCATGCCGAGTGCCGAGGAAACAACGTATTTAATTAAAGTGCTGCCCGACACGACGCAGGACTTCCTTTCACGCGACGTGGACCTCCTCGTATCGCAAATAAAGGAAAACCTTCGACTGTCTAGTTTAAAAGCGAAGTCTAGCATCAGTTACAAGAACCGGCCGTCGCCTTATCAAATACCGTCGAGGTCGTGGGCAGACCCGAACAGTTGCGAGATGTGCGGCACGAAAAACACCGCTGCTCACGAGCATCGTCATCTGAATCATCACCATCATCATCACCATCACCTACACCACCACAAGAGGCCCACGGCTAGGGACGATGACCCGTACGAGCTCCTGCAGGAACTTCTTAAAGAGGGTGGACTGATAAAAGAGGCTGTAAAAAGACTTCAAGCAAATTTGGACGATTTAGATAATTCTGAAGAGGAAGTGGACGATGAGCAATCGTCGGTGATATATCGCAGAAAACCGTATTTCTACGATTCCGAGGACGAGCAATTACCGCCTGTATACAAGCCGCTCGAACTGTGAGACTCAAGTTTTAAATAACGATCCTCGATCGTATAGAGCAGAGTGAGAAAAAAAGTTTCGGTGTTCCTCGTTAACCAGTTCTTGTTCCTTACTTTACCTTTCGGTACGGTGCATAACGTTAACATAAAATGTTGAAAGAAAAACCGTATGATTCGTGCCGTAAGAAAGTACAACGAGGTAAAATACAATTAGCCGAGAGAACTCGTCTTGCACAGCAGTGTTTGTAAATATGGTATGTTGTTATTCGAAGCAGTCACGCACACGGTTTCGTGCAACTTCGGCCAAGATCGCCGGCATATCGACAATCCACGATGCAAGATGCGAGGCTTACGTGGAAAGCATGGCTGCCTCGATTCCGAGCCTCTCCGGGCTAGATTTACATGACAACAGCATTTCTCCCCCTTTCCTTTTAATTGAAACTTAGCATACTCGTTGGATAAAAAGGAAAAGAAGCTAAACAGTTCCTGACTGATGCTCGCGTCCAGGGTAACAGAGTAAAAGATAGTATGTCTATTTCGAGGAGTAGTTATAACAAATTTTTGGAACCGTCTGTATACGACTCTTTTATTTAGAAGAAACAAACGATCATTGTTATTTTTAATCGGTTCCCTATTTTTTTTTTTTTTATTATTCTTTTCATAGCGATGTAAAGTAATCTGACAGTATGCGGTCGACGTAAAGTAGTTATTCGATGATGAAGCTAAACGAGTATTGAGAAGCAAGTGCTATATGACACAAATCGATAGCATAATAATGGACATAGTAATTAAATGCTTACATGTTTAAATTCGATTGTTACCTCTGTTATATGTACAGATATGATTATAGCTTTTTTAATAGCGTGAAGTACGGCAAAGGGCGCGTATGAAGGTATCCTATAGGATATATTAGTTGAGATAAATTTCGCTCGATTTGTCCGGGCTATTATGGTCCAGTTGCTATGATAATTAAGTATAAAAATTGTCGGAGAAACGAATCAACGAATTATTAGAAAAGTCATTTGACAGAATTGTATAACTATCGCGACTCCATGGATAGTGATCTCATTTATTTGTTTGTTTCCATTTCTTTCGCTCGAACCAGCTATTCAATTACGATAGAGAACATTTTGTTATGTAATGTTCGTTGCCCGAGGCATGTGTATGTGTACGTTATTTTCAAATTAAGATAAGTTCTAATGATCACGCGCACACATATCACCGTTCATTTCGTCCACTGAAAATATAGCTGACCCGTTTGACGAGAAAGACAGAGAGGTCCCTGGCTCGGACCGATTCGTTTCTATTATAAATCGTAGGTTGCATAGCACTTACACACGACCCAGTGAATTTACATTTGTTCCACGCGTATTCCATACTATATGTATGTAGTTATTTATCACTATCGATTCTTAGTGATACAACTGCCGTGTGCGCGTGTAAATTTGTACGTACTTATATTAGATATTCTGTACATACACGCGTACCGCGTATGCATCGTGTCCATTTATGTGGGTTTTTGCAGAACAGTGTATCGTTCGTTTTCGTCTTGCGACATCGGAACTTTCAATGAGAATATATTGACTACGAGTTGTATGAACTTTAATGAATATTCAGTTGTTAACTAAAAATGTACGTACTGGGTTGGATCGCGAACGCGTGATCGTATGAACAAATGTATTTGAGGAATTACTACGAGATTCTGCATTTTGCGTCCTATGTGCGTGCATGTGTGTGTGTGTGTATGTGTGTGCGTGTGTGCGATGATTGCGTTTACGTAGGAATGTTTAACCAGTGAAAAATTTGTCTTTGAATTCATTGAACTGTAAATTAAACAAGCTATATACCTCGTTGTGATGGTCGGATTTCTCATTCGACAAACCTTAATCATGTGAATAAATGAATAAAACATTTCATTCTAATCCTGTTTTCTACTTATTTTAATTATCGATTGTCCCCGATAAATTGTTTAATCCTCTTGTGCGTAGCTTACCGGCACATATTATAAAAAGAAATGTAATATCTGTTCGAAATTATCAATCATTAAATACAGAAAAGTGATCGTAATTTGTTGATCGGAGTTTATCAGCTGTCTCTTTAAATTACTTATAGATAATGACAGATAACAGTTCTTATAAATCAAGTTGAAAATTCCATTCGCATACGAGATTACTGACGGACGACGGACAGAACGGAGAATCAAAAATTTATCGTCATTGTCGCAGTTGAACACGATGGAGAATAACATGGCCAGTGTGACCTCGTATGTACACTTATTTGTTTAATTCATACATCGTTATTGTAAAAGAAAAATCATTCTAAAATCAAGTCATCTACTAAAATGATCAATATAGATTTATACTGAAGTTGAGGTTATGTAAAATATGAATAATGCTTGTTATACGATCATGTTAGCTGGCACCTTTTATCCAACATTGACCTTTACTTAGCTAATCTTATCGTGTACCTTAATTTACGTACATATTCGTTGTAGAAAAGAATTGGAATCGTGCTTTCAAAGAGGCAATCATACTTTGAAAGTACCTATGTCCCTCTTCCGAAACAATCGCGAGAGATTAGCTGCACGTATCAGAACCAATGCAAAAGTACCGCATGCAGGCACTTTTGTAATCCTCGAAGGGGGGGTTGAAATTCCATTTAATGATACAGATATAAACTGGCCATTTAGGCAGGTAAATCATTGTTCTTGTAGTCTGTGTAAGATCAGTTAGACAGTTATTGTGGTTACTTAAGCTTCTGTTTGGAATCATTGTTAGGAATCGTTCTTCCAATGGAGCTTTGGGGTAGAAGAACCTGGATGCTACGGTGCTATCGATGTAGCGACTGGAAGCTCTATTCTATTCGTGCCAAGATTGCCGGAAGAATATGGAATCTGGCAGGGGAAACTGCTTAGTTTGGAAGATTTCAAAAAACGGTACGCCGTAAACGAAGTTCGCTACACCGATGAAATAGCTGCAGTTTTAAAATCGAAACAAGTAACTCTTCTTCTCACCTTGGTAAGTTCGCCTTCGAGCCACCTTTCTGTTACTCTAACTGTGTAAAAGTATTCTTAATCTTCTTTCTTTGTGCTGTCAGAGGGGTCAAAACAGCGATAGCGGTTTGGAAACAAAAGAGGCTGTCTTCGACGGCATTGACCAGTGAGTACCGAGCTTTTTCACGTCCCCTCCTCACATTTTTGTATATATGTATGTTTTGTTTTGTTTTGTAGATTCAACGTAGACAACCACACTCTGTACCCGGAAATATGCGAATGGTAAGTACTTATTTATAAAACTACTGCCAACTTTTGTTTTGTAAAAAATAGTACTAAACTGTCTACTAAATTGCGAGTGCAATCGTCGATCGGTTGTATCGATATACAGCGCTGTAATTATTTTCTTTACGTTTGTCACGAGTCTTTTATATGAAGTCTTTTAATAATGACACAATAGTCTCACCGTCATTAAATTCCAAGTATTATTAACAACCATTCAAGATACCTCTTTATAGAACCGTATTATTAGTAGGAATCAAAAAATTCAATCAAAGATATCTCATGCTGCCGCCTGTTTTCGTACTTGAAAGGTACTGAATCGCGATGAATTTATTATTAAATTTAATCTGATTAGATGCTTGTATGCTCTACGCAGATGATACTTCTCGGTCATGTATGGGGGAAAGTTTTAATGCGTATGCACATACAATCCTCCGTTTTATGTTATAAACTTTTGAAACGATGGTACGAATCGAATTCTGGGAAACATGCTGGACAGCAGAGTTTGACACAGACCAGCATTCTCGTAGAAGAAGGATTAGCGATACAGGAGGTGCCTTTGATCGTGCGAAAAATCAAAGACATCGAAGCGATGTGTACCAATAAAACTGAAAAAAACATGCCCCTTATCAATAACCATAACAAGCTCTCCAACGTGTCTAAAAAGAGTGATCCGCTTTCGCTCAACATTAAAAATGCTAACAGTCCTAAAGGTAATATCGATATAAAAAAAAAACTATTAAAAAATCGAAGAATAGACATCGAAACGGACGAAGGAACCGCAATATTATTTTGCTCAGACCTTGATTGTTTTAAAGATTTAGACATAGAAGAGACATTGCGAGGATTGCAAGTATTTAACAACACTGACGGTATGTGTTCGTTGCTAGAGAATAAGATCTCGCAGGAGATAAATTGTAGGGTCGCTTTGGAGGGATTGAAGAAAGTGATAGATTTAGAAAATAATTGGGCCAGGCAGAGGTCTCGCGATCGGTCGTCGAGAAGTAGACAATTCGACATCGACAACACAGCTAGAGATATGATAATGAAGCAGTTAATTAAATTGGTTATTAATAGTAACGACTCCGAGACGATAATACAAGGGCTTATCGCGTTGAAGAAGGATAAAGTCAGTCCATCTAGGAACGTGTACAGAGATTTACTTTGCGACGAAGCTTTGAGCCGTGCAACGGATGGAGAATTCTCGCCTGCGCAGTTAATCAATTTGATCAACATTCTATCATCGTACAAAGATTCGAAATACCGCAAATCGATAGACACTCTGTGGGTTGGCATACTTCTTCGAGAACAGGACATTAATATGCATACATTGGTGGCATTATTTAAAATGCTCAAGCATTTTAATCAGAGCAAGAACATGGTGAAACTGATTCTGGAGAGAAAGCTTTTGGAGTGTTCTTTACAATTAACGGGCACGCAAATCGCGAGCATATTGGATTGTTTTCATGACAATGTCTCCGCAACGAAGTGTCTGACCAGCGCCAGTAAATGGGCAGGGGCGAGCATGAATTCCTCCAGCGAGAAAGATTTAATCAACTTCGTACACAGTTTACACGTGAAAGATTACGTCGACAATCAGATTGAAGAAGCTTTGCAAAACTATTTGAAGTCCAAAGGGTTGCAAATCGTCGACTCGAAATTGATAGGAACGGTGATGAATTATTGTAAAAATCTCCAAATCAGAAACGCGAGCATCTTATCGGAATGCGGTGAATATTTTATAAGACACGCCACGAGTATACCGACTAATCTGTTGTCCTCGATACTCACACCGTTTGGGTTGTTAAACGTACAACCACCGAAGGATAAAGAATTTTGGGAAGCTTTTAACGACGTGTTATCAGTGAAATTTCATCATTTGAAATTAGACGATGCTCTAGATATTCTTCTCTCGTGTACTTACTTAGAGAAGTATCCTATCAAGTATTTCGATAAGATTTTTATCTCGCAGTTGTTGCACAAAATTCATTTGAGACACCATTCCGCTTTCTTCAACCGTATAAAAAATAAATTAAGGCTGCTGGACGCTACTATGTATTTGGAATGCAAGCAATATCAGTCGTTGTACTTCCCTTCGGGAAGGATAGATAAACCTTTGTACTTGGACGCGCGGATTAGAAGAGCGGTCAGTATGATATATCAGCCGTTGGCATCTTTGGTAGGAAGTGAACAGAAATTAAGTAAGAATGTGATCCTGAATCGTTTGCCACCCATTAGTTTCTACGTACTCGACATTCTGATACATCCGCACATGGTATCGACGTCGGTATTTCCTTTAAACTTGGACCAAGAAAAGAACGTGAACACCGCGGTATTTATCTACTTGCCGGAATATTATTGCAGGAATTCGCGAGAATTGATAGGACCTCAAGTGATGAGGAAGAGACATATGAAGAAATTAGGTTTTAAAATCATGACATTAGACTACGCGACTATACAACAAGTTTGGAATCGATCCGACAAATTATCGTCTTACTTATTGGAAAGCTTACGTTCCGCGGAGAAAGCTTCGTAATCATAAAACAAAAAGGCCTTTCTAATAAAAATTGTAAAACAAGTCTAACGATGTAAGTGGTACGATGTATAGAATAAAAAGTGTTTACAGATAGATTTAAAGAATTTCTTGTAGGACAATATGTATAATTTATCAACAGCGTTACCCGTGTGCCGTGTATGATTATTCTTTTTTATTTTTACAGTCGCGTAATAAAGACACCGCAAGAAATCGAGGTGTTGGAATACGTGATTAAACTAAGCTCAGACGCTCACAAGTCTGTGATGCAGATGGTGAAACCAGGAACCGCGGAATTCCAGGCCGAGTCCGCTTTCCTTCATTACGTATATTCCGTTGGAGGTTGCAGACACGCGTCGTACCAGTGCATTTGCGGATCCGGACAAAACTCGTCCATACTGCATTATGGACACGCCGGTGCCCCTAACAACAAAATTATAAACGACGGTGATATGTGGTAAGCTATGGTATTTACGAGAAATCGTGTTAAGGAATCTGACGCGACCATTCAATCAAGCCTTTTCGATATGGGTGGAAACTACTGCGGATACGCAGCGGATATCACGTGCAGTTTCCCAGTCAATGGGAAATTTACGGAAGATCAGAAGATGATATACAACGCGGTCCTCGCCGCTCGCGACGCGGTAATGAATCAGGCGAAGCCCGGCGTAGCTTGGACGGATATGCACCTGCTGGCGAACAAGACTATGTTGACTTCTCTAAAGGAAGGGGGTCTGCTAACGGGCGACGTGGATAAGATGATTGAGTCAGGATTACATGCGGTGTTCCAGCCTCATGGGCTTGGACATTTCATGGGGTTAGACGTTCACGACGTTGGTGGATATCTTCCGGGACATCCGGAACGTCCCACGGCACCGGGACTAAAAAAATTGAGAACCAGCCGCATTTTGAAACCCGGCATGGTGTTGACGATCGAACCCGGCTGTTACTTCATCGACTGTGTAAGTGGCCACGAGGGAATATTCGTAACGAAGAGCGATGTAATTAATTGGAGTAATTGCTACAGCTATTGGATGCCGCGTTGAACGATCCGAATCAATCGAAGTTCATAGTTGCCGAGAAATTGAAAAAATTCCGCGGACAGGGCGGAGTTCGTATTGAAGATGACGTTCTGGTAACTGAAACTGGTGTTAAAAACTTGACGGATGTCCCACGCACGTAAGTTTCGATGTGAAGAATGGTAATCATTTGTACATTTCGATTATATTTCATGTTTTAATACTGTTTGCTTGCAGTGTGGAAGAAATAGAAAAGTGGATGGCTGCTAAGAAGAATTAATCGATCTCAGCTACTCATTATCGGCACTGAGAAACACGCATATACGATGTTTGAATTCCATGGAAAGGACAAGGAAAAAACTATTTATAGATTCTATTTTTCGTGTAAGATGAATTGTGATACGTAACGAAGTATTTTTGAACACGTTTCATATGATACATTGATATATCTTTTTTGTTTATATATATATATATATATGTACGCAGAGTACTCTTTCATTTTTACAATCTGCGCTTCGTTATTTCTTATCCGATCTTCGCTTAGGTTCATTTGAATAATCGAATATTTATCTAACGGTGTTCCCAAAGCACATACGTCATTCATGAGGAAAAAGCGATAGCGCGCGATTACCCATTTATCATTTCCTCCTCCTTTACTAAATTATTATTCCGTGCGCGTACCGGTTAAAAACTGGTTATTGAAAAACTTAATTCTAAATCGAGCGGAACTATACCTCTGTTTTCCCAGTTCTTACGAGTTATTAAAACTTCGCAAAAAGTTCTCGATATAGTATTCACTATCGCGAACTAAGACGGAACATTTACATTGATTCCGGTTGTGCATACAACAATGATGTGTTAAAAACTAGACTTACCTATGACGCAATATGAGTCCTATGTAAATTTATGATCAATATTCACGTTATAGTTAAATAAGAAAAGATTGCAAACCATCGGACAATCGCTCCATTGATCCCACGCGATCTTCAAACAAGAATGCGATATATAACATTTCCATTAACAACACACACTAGATCACACCCGTTAACTCATTTATTTTCAACGAATCACGTAAAAATAGAAATTCGGCAAACCTAGGAATAGAAAAAGAGGGAAGAACAACTATTCTTGGATCTGATCATCGCGATCATCTGAAATAGTGAAGGGACAAACTTCACGTTTGTGGTACATAATTATATATGTATATGTATATACTACACATGCATACGTGTTAATGCCTGGCACACAGACACGATATATAGCATCAACCCCGATAATCGTTAATCGTCGAATGGCCAGCTGTCGCCAGGGCAGAATGCCCGAATGATAACAATCGCGCAGTGATCCAGCTTCTACGTTCAAGTCATATTACCCTACTGTCACTCGCAAAGGTATAAAAAAAGAGTAGCAACTGCAATGTGCAATGCAGTGACGACAATGGTACCGGCATGCGTCGCGGCAGCGGAAGATCCTCTGGAGTCTGAATAGTTTTGAATCCATTTTCGGTCATCGGAGTTAAATTATATGTTTCATTTCTTTTTCTGTTGCAATAAACGATAAAATATCGGTACTGTAAAATCCGTCATCTTTCTGACCAATCACGCTTCAAGCTTACAATTAGTAAATCACCGACACAAGCGCGATTACTGAGGACGTGAAGTTAGTTCGCGCAAAATCTTTGACGTAAAGTGAACAGTTTAAAGCTGTGTTTATTCAATTTTTGTTCGAGCTATATTTATTCCGCGCTATTTCCCTTGGCTACACCAGGACAAGATCTGATGAAGCGACGAAAGATGTGCGTACGGAACAGGTGTGCGACAGGTACGAAATAAAACGCGTGGGAGATGAGAGGAGAGGCAGCGATAATGCGAAGCAAACGCGGTGTTCGCTACCATTTATCCATCGATCGGTCACGAGTGCGAGACAGCAAGCGCCGCGACGCCTTCTCTTCTTTTCTTAAGCCCGGCGCGTCCCCACCTGTGCTGCCTGTGCTCGTTCACGATCGTGTCAGACATTTGAGCACCACGTCGGAGAACACGAATCTCCCTCTTTCTCTCGCTCCCTCCTCTCTCTCTCCCTTTTGTTTCCTCTTTTTCCCTCGCGCGCGCACACACACACGCACTTGCTTTCTCTCTCTCACACTATCTCCTCCGCGCTCTTTTCATTCGTCGTTCATCGACTCGACGTCGCCGTCTCGCGCGAGCAGAACACCAAGATTCCGTCGTCGACGTCCCGTGCGTGCGATTTCGCGTATTCGTTCCACGAAATCCGCGAGTGACGAACGAACATAGGAGCCATGCGAACGTACGCTATTATTCCGTTTCGTCGACGACCGTCCCGCTTTCTTCTCTTTTTGCTGATAAAAGAACGCGGTGTTCGCCGCGCGAGTGTTACTACCGTGTGCGTGTGAGTTTCGCGTTGCGATTAGGCGAGTGACGATCGGTGTCTTCGAATATCACGAGAAAGGCACCAGGTAATTACGACTTAGCGTGAGACCTCATCGAGACAAGATGCGCGGAGCGATCAGCTTCTTCGAAGTGTATCCCGATAAAACTTGAGAAACGTTTCTTCCGCGAGTGTTCAGTGGATGGAAAATCAATATACCGTTTTTCAATATTGCCGATGTGCGAGATTTCCTGTTTTCCCCGTGTCACCGTGCGCTTTGTCCGCTGAATGGCAAAGCGGTGAACGACCGTTTCTAGGTCGAGCAAGATTTGTGGTAGGCTTGGTAATAAGGGATTTCAGGTGCTGCTGGGAGGGAAAGGAAATTGGAACATCGAACGTTGCCGGGGACACCTTCGCTGTTGGCCTCTGACGTCGGAAACGTTTTCTCACCCCTGACCGATCACCACGTCGAATTGGGTCACCGGGAGGCAGCAGCGGCAACGATATCAAACGGAATTCCTAAACCTGAACACCGGAACCTAGCGACGATTCGACATGTTCTGTTTCCAAACGCCGTTCACCCGCGCGTCACGCGTGCTCGCCTCGTCTCTCTCGTCCAGCAAGTCGAAGACCACGTCCGTGGACATGATCCTTCCGGGAGACAAGTCGCCGAACTCCAAGTGCGACAGACAGGACTCGGAAGCGACTAGCGAGGGTTCCGGTTCCTCGATCGGATACATCGACCAAGAACCGTTGGTCTCCGACACTAGCAGCACCGACAGTACGCTTCCGGATATCAAAGCGGACTACCTGGATCCAGAGACCTTGTCACCGGGACCGGATTCTATCGCTCCCGCTTCCTTGGACGTATTGGAAAACGGGATAGGCGATCCACGGGATTATGACAAACGGGACCCTGAAAAGCGATCGTATAGCAATAGACGGTGCAAGAAATTGTTGCTCCGACTTTGTTCGAACGAATCTTCGGGAAGCAACAAGGAGATCGACGACGAACTATCAGGTTCGATAGGGGACGAGAAGAAGGATTACAAAGCAGAGGAAGAGATAATCGCGTCTCTGGCGTACTCCTCGCCGTCGGTGTTGATCGATTCCGTTGACGATGAGGACGATGACGAGGATGACGAAAACGCGTTTGGAAACTCGAGAATAATCTCGGAGAACGATATTCGGAACGGGTTCAGCGAGTCGGAGAAGGAGAACGCATCGAACCAGGAAACGGAAACGGAAACCGAGGAAGGATCCTCGTTGCCGTTGAGTCCCGCTGGTCCTACTACTGGTTTGTCTTCGTCCACCGTACCTTACTACAATTTCCTCTGCGTAAACGGCGGAGCGATGCGCCAGGAGATGACCAGCACCAGTTCGCCGCAACTATCCTCGAACGGTAACCACCGATCCAGCGTAGAATCTACTCCAGCCGATGTTCGCGACTCGTTTAACGCGGGTAACAGTTTCGAGATCGAAACGAAGCCGGAGCGTTTGGAGAGCGCGTTCTGTTTGCCCGCCGCGAGGTCTTGTCCCAATTTGGAGAGACAGAGCGCAGGCTGTTCTCCGACCAGCGGTTCCAGCGGTTCTAGTCCTAGTCCTGGCCCCGTGGGACCCAGATTCAAACCGATAGAGGAAGGGGACATTCAAGTATGCTTCCTGAATTACACGAATCTCGTTAAGAAGATCCTGTCGAGCAAATACTTGAGGAGATGGGAGACGCATCATCTTTATCTGAACGACACCTGTATCACTTCCAAAACGGTGAGTCTCATGAATAACAAAGTTTAATTGCGTTTCACTGATACACGATAACTCGTCCGTGCACGGTTGGCGATCGACCGCTGCCGTGAATGGTAAATCAGTGACGTTGATCGTTTAATTAATTTCGTTGCAAAGCAGCTACTTACGTCTTTGAATTTCTTGTCCGCGATTACGGATTCAGCGCGACACGAACTAACAAGCGTGTACTATACGTTTATAATAAAACTATGCGTACCTCGCTGTGAGTACGTGGATACCTGCCGTTTTTTGTGGTCAAATTCTGTCATCTATGAATATTTAATGGAAAAGCAAGATAGGTAGATGAGAAGATATTCAATGACACGTCGAGCAAATGAAACTAGCGTGTACGTAAAGCTGAATAGTTGTTGCGATGTGTATGAAAAATTATCCGTCGAAACAAATGCGCGAAGTAAACGAAGAGAAGTAGGAATCGTTCCAGTAGTTCCGTTGCAAGCGTTCGTAAAATTGGGTTGTAAATCTCTGGTCGCCGTGCTGGTTGACCGAAGAAAAAAAGGGAAGAAAAAAGAAATGAATCGACCAGCCTTTTTTTGACGATGCAAGCATAATCTGAAGAAGCGGTCACGAGATGCATTCAGGGTCGGCTTTGACGTAAGTGAAGCGGTCGCACACATGCACGCACGTGCGTCTCTCTTTTCGTCCGTGTCTCTCGCAGGTGTACGAACGCTCGCGAGTGTAGGTGTGCGCGTGTAGACATACGCCACAATTTTTCCAATTTTTAATAAGCAAGTTAACGCTCTTTATCGATTGCTTCTTGTCGAATAAACGAAACAGTTGCGAATTTATGTACGAACGAATCGTTTCGCGAACTGTTTCAGCGCACAGGATTTTTTCGACAACCGATACCGTATAGCAACATGTCCGATATACGGAAATACGCTGTTGCTAGATGGGATCCTACTTATAAGAATTGCCTGAGCATAGTTCTACCGAACAGTTCTCTTCTTCTCCAAGCGAACAATGCTTACACGAGGGACCAGTGGTATCACTCGATACTGTGGAAGGTAAATAGATTTTGCGACATTTCCCTGCGACGTACCTGCAACAAAATCTCCGAAATCTTCCAGAGGAGTATCTTCAAATATCAACATTTGCTGTCTTTGAACACTCGGGAAGAGGTGATTATCAAGGAGCTGAAATCGATGGTGGATTTCGCGTTGTGGACTTCGCTGCAGGACGAGAGAGTGTCCGTGGCACCGTTGGAAGCCGTTGCGAAACACTTGGAAGATTCGGTAGTGGAGGATCCGTCAGATTCCGAGAAATCTACCGAAGAGATATCTCGCTATCGGAACGATAGGAAGCACTGGGCGGAAGCTGTACTTTCGGTAGTGTCCCCGCTTTTGGACAAAGTCGCGCTTCCGGTTTGTTTGGCAAAGGTTCTCGTCAAGTTGGCCCAACAGCATCCGCAGTCGTCTTTGGTCACGGCCGTGAGCCCAGCGATCACCAGGTGTCTCAAGCACACGGTCGACTTCGGCAAGTCCCTGGACATGAGGAAACTGTTGCAAGTTTTCATCGCCGCTCTGTATGCGACGGGCGGAGAGCAAGCGGTCAGAGATTACATCATTTCGGTTCACGGACCCGGAAGCGACTGTCCTCATCCGAGAGTGCTACCGAATTTAGTATCCGTCTGCGTTGCCGCGATTTTTCATAGGTAAGTAAAGACATACGTTTACAAATCGAAACGAATTGGTTTGAATTTCGTTCGCTCGCAGATTCGAGGTAGCTAATCGTTCCTTGCCGGAGAACGATAAATCGCTGAGTCTGCCTCCGCTGAATTGCTATCTCTTGGTGTTAAATATCACGTAAGTAAACATCCTATTGGTAGACCTCGTTGTCTACGAGCTTTATAATAGCGTGGCGTCATCATATTTTTCCTAGCTCCGAATACGCCGATTGGAGGCCGGAACTGGGTGCTCTATTGCAGCCGGTCCCATTTCCCGAGGAGGCCTTCACGGTGAAAGAAGTACAGCAATCGATACTGATGCGCGTGATGGATCGCTTGGCAAAGGATACGAGATGCGTCGTACATCGCGTTCTGCTCCCGGTCAGGGAACTCAGGCCCGGATGGATCCACATCGCGGCACCGTCCAGTCCGGATTGTCCCGATCAAGGAGAACTGTTCGGACAAATGGTACGCTTCTCTCTTTCATATCGATTATGTAATGGCTTCGTTCGAAACATGAATAATAATCTTTATTTTTATTAGTTGACGACGTTACTGGCGTGCTGCTGTCGACGGAAGAAGTTCATCGGCTGGCTAACAAAGCAGGTCCGCGACGATTGCATACTCCTGGCGGTGAGAGGCTGTGAGGCGGCGCAAGAAGCTCTTTGTTTGATGCTGGAATGGCATTTGTTGCCGAGCAAAGAAACCAAATTGCAAATAGTTAGCGCGCTGGAATCAACGGCCACGGGCAAGGAACACTACGCCGCGCTATGTCAGAGGCAAAGGAATTTGCAGCAACTGGTAAGTGAAGCAGAATCGCTGAAAAGGGAGGATCACGTCATACCAGATTTTATCATGAATTGGCATTGTTCAGTTACGGAAAGGTGGCCCCAGAAGGTTGACGCTACCAGCCAGGGCGACGGACGCCGACGTCGCTCTGCTTCTGAACGGGAGAGCTCTCGGCAGTCTGGAGTACCTTAGCTTGGCGTTCACTTCTGTCACATCGGCCTGCGCTGAACAACTGATCAAATTGCCAGCGCTTAGGCACTTAAATTTATGGGCGACGCAATTCGGCGACGCTGGCCTACAGATGATCAGCGAGCATTTGCAGAAGTTGCAGGTTTTGAATCTCTGTGAAACCCCGGTCTCCGATAAAGGAATCTCTGCCTTGGCCTGTAAGTAGAAGATCCGCTGCCGAACAACACGAACGGATCGATCGATCGATTTTGTAATTGAATATAATTTGATTCGCAGCACTGACAAGTTTGAAGAAGCTGAACTTGAATAGCACGAAGCTGTCCGTTCAGACGTTCGAATTGCTGAAAAAGTGTTTGCCGGCTCTTCAGGAATTTGACGTTAGATACACGGACGCTTGGTAGCCAGAGCTTTCGTTCGGTGACTCGAGCGCTCTAGAGAAAAGACAAAACTCTTTGAATTGAACGCGAGAGACGATAAAACGTAAACAAATCCGAAGTGTCTGTTACGATCGCGCGGTAAGATTTTTCGAGCGAAAGGTATTTACGATCATCGGTGAAATTGGTCAAAAGTAAAGTACGTGACCAGGAGCACGATAAAAGCCTGGAGGATACACGAAGGGGGAACGATCAAGGAAGCTTCCAAGAAGTCGCGTATTGTCCAACGATCGTCCGGATTAAAAGGTAACGAGACATTTGATCAAACATTAAAATAGGTGGAAATCTGAATAATAAAAAATAAAGATATCGTGTCGAACGGCACAGGGACTTGCGAACACTCGAATCCGAATTACCGCTCGGTCGATCGTAAGTCTCGAAGTGCCTTGCCTTTTACGCGAATCCTACGTGTTTCGGTCGTTTCATTTAATACACGTATAATTTTAGTCGGATTAATATTTATTGACATCGACGATGCGTAGACCATGAAACGTATAATAATTTATAACGGTCGTTCGTCGAAGTGAGCGTAGTAGACTAATAACTCGTACGTATATTTATTTGAGATTCTTTTCCCTTCTGTAAATATCATTCGACGGACTCATTATTCTATCGAAAGACATTTCTTCGAATGTGATCTAGCACATATACACGCATGTATAATTAAGTAAACGTAGCTTTATAAAGGGAACAGAACTATGCATTTAACGAAGGTTCAATTTCGATCGTGCTAATATCAAAAGGACACCAAATAGCGAACTAGACAAGGATAGTGTGTTTTACGTTTAATAAGTGGTACGGTTTCAGTTCGATCACCGAATTAAGCGCGCTAAGACTCGTTCTTTTAATCTAAGTAAGTACAATTTGAAAAACACGTCGTTGAAACGTTCAATTCTCAGAATAACTATATTAAGAATCCAATGATCCTAGCTCGTAAGAAACAAATTTCGTGTATAGTACTGTCGACAAAAATCTACTCTCGATGAAGATATATATATATACGTATACAGGGTGTCAGGAGGGATCGCGAGCTCTTCGAATTTGGTAGAGGTACGTAGACGTACTATAGTCGTTAACTACGCATTTGTTCTAGTCAACCACCTAAAGTTGAACGATATTCTTTTTCCTACGTTTACTACTTAAGTATAATTTTACTTTGACTCGCGCGTTCACATTCTAAAAGTTCGTGATCCTGTTCTCCGTATCTTCTACATTATAAATGCCGTCTATACTAAATTTCTTCCAGATAGTTGTACTATAATTCGACAGGATTAACTTGGTCGTGCATGTGAAACCACGCGAACTAAACTCATTATCGACGCTCGAGGTGTTCATTATAGTCGCGACAGCCGAAAATTCGAAGAAAAAAATTGCAAACGATTATATGTATAAGAATGCACGGTGGAAAGTCAGAAAATCAATCCCTTCCAGTTTTAAAAAAGTTGTTTCTTCGCGGAACGAGTACACGTTCCGAGCCGATCGATAATCCGATAAATAAAGAGTTAAACGAACGCGGTAGAGTTACACGCATGCATGCACGCATGTCGTCGCGCGTGTCACTTTGAGATTCTCGCTCGGTTTATTGGAAAACAAGAGAATTCCTCTATTTTTTGACTTTCCTTCGTATCTCGATACGGGAAACGAACGTCACAGTGAGACTCGACATCGGACTTATTTTATCTATACTTGGCTGATACATAAATATGGATGAACTTTTAACCGGAAAGAAAGAAAGATGCATTTTCGAAAAAGATTTTTGCTCTTTTTTCCTTTTTGAATAGCGCTCAACTGCCTCAGCGATCAAGCTCTGAGCGACCACTGCCATAACGCGTGCCACAACTCGCGTATTCAGGACGACTGTCCCTGGCACGCGTTACAATCGAATTTTTCGTTTCGACTATACCATTAGGGTGTTTCAGAAATATAATACTCTCCAACAAGAAAAGGGAATCGGAATACTCTTGAAATATTTAGAAACGATTATACGTCTAGTCGCTTGCTTAAAATTTACTTCTCAATACGAACAATTCACATTTCTTTACGTATTATTCCATCGTTACACGTTCCAACTTGTTACGTACAGTACAATTTTTAAATATTATTCGACGAAATAGAAATCAGAAAATTCAGAGATCGATTCTTCTCTTCGGCCTTTCCCGTGTCTTCTTCTTCGTCAATGTGGATTTCAAGAAAATCTGATTATTATCTAATAGTAAGTTCCGTTTGTAGATATCGTTCGGATATACGTATTTCCGAAACACCTTGCGAACGCTCGATTCTCACAAAACGAATTTTTCCTAGAAAATTTATAATCGGTCGAGATGTTAACAAGTAAAATACCACATGTTCTACCTTTTTCCCTCTCTTCTCGTTCTCCTTTTTTTTTTGAGAAACGGTTCACATTCGTACGCTTAAAGAGCAATCAACGATATTTGCAGTTAGTACGTACGTTTAATTTCCTTTGCGGAATACGAAATTCCAGCGCCGCAGTTCTGCGTCATCATTTATTGTTAATAAAAGTAATTCCCGTTTTCGTGTCGTGGGTACTTAGGACGTTACGATATACTTGTAGTATATAGGTATAAGCTTATTTGTTATCGCGGAACTTTTAATTCGTCGTTGATCGTTATACAAATTCTAAACTCTTCCTTTTTTAGTATAATGTATTTATAACACGAGTACATTCGGTCCTAAATATAAGTATTTATTTGTAAATATTTTAGACGCGTACATACGTGCGTGCATCGATTTCTTTCGCCACTTAATCACGTGATCGTTATCCTTCCCTCCTGTTAATTAAACTGAAATTACTGCAGTTCAAAGGACACATCTACCAACTTCGAGTTTTGGTTGTATATTTTAATTATGATCTTTATGGGTTGAAATAAGAATTTTTACTACGTGGATATAGAAGGAGAAAATTGATATCGTTTTTATTTAGACAATTGTCACGTGGTTGTAAGTACTTTAAGACTTATCTATATGCCCGTTCTTCATCCGAATTACGGATAGTCATCAAATTTAAATGAGATGTAAGTTGCCCGTATCTATGTCTACTTGATTTCTCTTGTCAGGCGGCAATTCGTTCCACACCGAGAGCGGGACAGATTCTGGAACAAAAAGAACAAACGCGATAAATTGGAGAATCTGAACTTCTACGTAGTTTAAGCAAAGCCGTTGGGTCGAATTGTAAATAATTAAAGGAACGTATATATTTTGATCGAGTCAAGTTTAATCGAAAATTCGTGGTAGTCAGTAAGAGTTTCATCGGTTTTACCTTTACAAGAGTAGTGCAAGTTGGACCAAGTGATGTTCTCCTGGGAGAAACAGTAGACGCCCAATTTGCCACCCCGCAGAGTATGATCAAAGATGTTCCCTGAGTCAGTTATTAGGTCCTTTCCCCTGTAAAGAGCGAACCTGATCAGACCGATATGAGGTCTGTGCAGAAGCTGCCACCTATACGATGTCCACGGCTTCCAGCCTATGCCAGATGGATCGTGCCATAGAACTTTCATCTCGTTCACTACGGTATCGTCGCTCCAGAGAGTGTTCCTAAGGATCTCGCCAGGTCCGGATGCCGAATCGACGAGCCTCAACCTGATTCCGGCACTTGCATGCGACCTGAACGGACGGACGTGCCAGTAGATCTGCTCGTATTGCTTCCAAGTCACCACGTAAAATTTCCTGCTGCTCTGATAAGCGAACACGAATCCAACGAAATCGTCGTCGTCGTCATCCCCGATGTAAAACGTTCCCTCGAAATCTACTCCGCTAAAAACGTCCTGTCCTGTCTCGGAACAGACATCGACTCATTGGCATTCATATTTATATATATATTTTTTATCATTTCGTACGATGCGAACGTTCAGTGTTCACCCTTTCCTTACCGACAGCAATACCAGGGTCGCTGTTCAAAAGCTGTGTAATTTCGGCACCCATGTTGCGTATTACCCAAATCGGATCTTCTTGCGCCGTGCCGATAGGATCCAGATTGATGGTCTTGTACTTTCTGAAGTCTGTTGTCCAGACCAAAGTGTTGTTGGGACAGTTGTCGTTCCTGTTTATCACGGTGTCGTTATCGAAGTCATCGGCGCAAGCGTAGCCGATACGCGGGACTGAAAATTCATTGAAACTCGGATGAAAATTATTCGTTGCGTTCAAACAATTACCCACGCGCATGGTACTTACAACGAGAAGGACGTTGATCCGGATTGTACACGTATAAGCAATTGTCAACATCGTTTGGTACATTATCATTATCCATATCGTTGTCGCACGCGTCCCCTATTCCATCCCTGTCGATATCACTTTGGTCAGGATTCGGCACGTTGGGACAGTTGTCCAGGTTGTCTTGTTTGCCATCAGAGTCTGAATCCTGATTGGTATCGCAAGCATCGCCAACCCCATCCCCGTCCGTGTCTGTCTGATTCTTATTGGGAACATCAGGACAATTATCGCAGACATCGCCAACCCCATCCCCGTCCGTGTCTAACTGATCGGGATTCGGCACCGTTGGACAGTTGTCGCGGTTATTTGGAATACCTGGCATCGTGAAAATTAGTGCGGATCAAAATCAGGACATCATATTATCAAACATTGAAATACACATTCATTTTTCGATCTCATTCATTATTTCTGCAGATTTTATTTTTTTATAAATGCATCGAATCTCGTTTACCATCTTTGTCGATATCGTTCTCGCAGGCGTCGCCTACACCATCGCCATCGGTATCCTCTTGCAGCCGATTGCTGACGAAAGGACAATTATCGCAAGGATCGCCCAGGCCGTCGTCATCGGAGTCTTTCTGATCGTGATTCGCGGTCAACCGACAGTTATCCTTACGATTCAGTATACCATCGTTGTCGGCGTCTGGATCGCAAGCGTCGCCTATGCCGTCTCCGTCTGCGTCCTCTTGTCCGCTGTTGGGTACCGTCGGGCAATTGTCCTTGTGACAAAACAGATCCTCGCAGTCAAGAGCATCATTGGGAAAACCATCGCCGTCCGTGTCTTTGCCGCAGAACAACCCGTTCCCAGCCGTTCCGTAGTTACACTGAAAATAATAGAAGTAATCTATCTCTAAACAAGCTAATGCTCTTTCATATGAGAAACACTTTAGTATGTCTATCGCTGTAGACATATTACGCACAAAAGTAAAAGACCGGAATAAGGTTTCGTTTTTACCCTGCAGAAGTGTTCGTAGACGTTGACGGCCCGGCAATAGGCGTCCTCGTGGCAAACTTCTTTTAAATTCGAACAAACTCGAATCGTCGGCTGGCAGCCGGCTGCTCGGCTGCCTAAGAATCCTGTCTGACACTCAGCACTGCAATAGTGCGAACCCTGAAACGCAAATCTTATCGTCAGAATTAACTGGTATACTGAAACGTAATAAACACCAAGCGAGAAATCCAGAGAAATTGCCGCTGTAATACGCGACGGTTACCGGCGTGTTGATGCATTCCACGCCTCGACCACAACCACCGTTGTTGTAGTCGCACTCGTTTATGTCTGTGCAGGTCTGTTTAACGCTCCTCGCGATCTCCAATCCGAAGCCCTCGATGGTAGGTCCGGTATATCCCTTCGGGCAAGGATCGCACTTGAATCCTGGTTTGAGGTTGATACATCGTACTCCGGGGTAACAAGGTTCCGTTACATCGCATTCGTTTATTTCGACGCACGCGGTCCCATTAGAGATGTACCCATGTGCACAAGCGCCGCATCTGGTCGAAACGTTTTTAAAGATTCCATGTTCGAAAAAACGGGTCACCTCGATACGCTAAATCCTTTGAGAAGAACCGAGTACCTGTAATAAGGTGGACGGGAAATCCGCTCGCACGTAGTTCTCGGGCCGCAGGGACTCAGCGCGCAGGGATCTCCTTGTGCTTCGCAGTTAATGCCGTCGCCGATGTGGCCGGGAGGGCATCTGCCGCAACTGAAAGTACGAGGAGTCGAGTCGTATGAAGTTAATCGAATAATTAATAAATGAAATTTACGTACATGAACGATCCGTTTCTGCGATTGTGGCAAGGGACCGAAGGATAGCAGGGTCTGTGCGCGCAATTTATTTGAATGCAATGGCGACCGTCGCCGGTGTAGTGTGGTGGGCAAGCTCCGCATCGCGGTCCATGCCTCGTATCATAACAAGTAGCACCCGGGAAACAAGGCGATTCGTATTCGCAACTGGATTCTTTCGGCCTGGGAGCTATGGAACCATGAACGAACGATCAATCAGGATAGGAAGTTGGAAACGCTAGTCGCTCGACTTGCGACTCGAGGTGGATCTTTTGCGCCTCTGATCCTTCAAAAAGATCGTGGCTTTCGCAAAAGAGCGTTGCAAAGAAAAATGAATGATTACTCAGAATTTTCCATCGTTTGCTTATATTTGTCGCCAATTAAACACATACATTACATATTTATTTGTAGATCAAAGAGAAAAGCGGTAAATGCCACACAGAGAGAAGAACAAAAAGCACGAAGACTGCACGATAACGCTTTCAATAGAATGACTCACCAGGAGTACGGTGTGTCTCGCATCGTTCCATTGCTCGCCGCAAATTTCGCAATTCCTTTGTCTGAAAAAAAATAGAAACGATGCACCTCCTTCTTATTCGAGATATAAGATCGGTACTCACATTCTCTTCTGTTTCAAGCCACAACCTGTTGATCGCCACTATCAGTGTGTTCAACGTTTTTACTATCCGATCGTCCGTCAGACAGTCTGCGAAATCACGTTCTGTTACTTTAAATTCGAACAGGGAGTACTACCCCTGCAAATCTTTGTCTAATGTTGCTGCATCGTTCAAAGATTTTTGTCAGGAGTAGTATTCGATACGCGGTTGGATCGAATTTATACCTCTTTCGTCCAAAGATTGAATCCCGATGTCTCCTCTCGACGTTGCCCTGGCCGTGCGTCTCGAATCCATCTCCGATTCATCCGATAGACTAAAACCACGCAGATCTCTAGTGTTTCGATAGCCACCGTCATTCGCACCACCGTACCACAAGTACTCGGAAGAGGACAATTCGCCCGAATTGTTACATTCCTCTTCTATTTCAGCTTCGTCCAAGCTGAGCGGGTACACGGTCACTCGGGCTTTTCTTCCCCTAAACTAAACACGGGCCAACTTCAGCGATGGAGAAGACTCTTATTCAATGAACGATTATTTCGTTTTATTATCATTTTTTTGATCAACGTTTCCGAGAGAACTATAAATTGCGTGTACGTAAAAAAAGTAACATAGAACAGTTACGATTACATGCACAACTCATGAATATTGAAGATCAAGCGAGGAAAATCTCAAGTTTTTGCCGTCCCTTTCCACAGCGTGAATTAATCGCCGGGTCTGGGTTCAAGATCGACGACTACAAGAAAGTGGGCGACCACGGCACGGATGAATACCGAGCGAATCTAAATCGATTTACCGCGGCTAAACGCGTTACGCGCGTGACAAAGTCGGACAGCCTTAGAAGTCTGACCATATTTGGAAACGCATAGAAGCTTCATCCTACGACGTCCACCGTCACCGGTGCACCATCAACGATCGCGAGAGAGAACGCCTGGAACTTGTTTAAACGAAACACATTTCGCTCTCTCTTTCATGCTCACCACTTCGATCCTTTCGGTAGATTTCAATGGGCGAAAACCTCTCGTCGTCTCGATCGTTCCTTTGAACTGGCAATTGGCGTATACGTCCAGGAAGACTTTCTTCTGGTACCGTCGTATCACGAAGATCAGATGCTCGGACGTTGAACTGTGGGTATCAATTTTCACCTTGATGTGCCCGGAGCTTCGACGGTCGCCAACGATGTTTTCGAGGATTACTGCAATGAATTTCTCGTTTCTAACGCGTCCTAGTTAATCGGTTCTACGCAATTCTCTTTTACCTCGTTCATTCGGTCTATCCAGGATTATCATGTTCTTCGCTCCATTCTGATATTTGATTATGAGTAGAATGCTCGACGAGTTATGCTTCTTACTCATTCTAGTGTTCATAATGTCCAAAGTAAAATTGTTGTGCCATGCACGTCGAATGTCGCTCGCAAGTTCTGTAAAATAAATGAGAAGTGTGCTCTTAAATACGCGGTGTTCCGCTAGATCTCTTGTTGAACCGAAGACCGGTTTAATTCTATGTAAGAACTCCCGCCTGCCACTAGTCTAATCAGAAACGAACGACTTCTTTCTCGAGTCATTTTATCAACTCTTTACGAAACGGAAGAGCTTCCGTCGTACCTGGATCCCGTAAGACGCTATCGACGACGTGAGCGAGAAGAAACGCGGCGAACAACGCCGCGATCACGCGCATTGTCACGTCTTCTATTCACCGATTACACCGAATTATTTTGAAGCGCGAGACAAACTCGCGCGTCGTAAAGCTAATTCCGACTCGTAGATCAACGCGAAAGAGCAACTATGCGCTCCGATCGTAGACCGGCTTAAGTAGATTCCTTGACGTTGGCGTTCGCCGACTGGCATCGGGGAAAAGCCTACGATCGACTTTATAAATCACCTTCGAGTTACAGGAGCACAGTCCACGGCTGGGAGAGTTATCGTAGGCACATAAAAATATGTTGATTAAGCTGTTAATATCGATTCGAAATACCACCCATTCCTTTTCACGTTTCTATTACCTTTATATCCAATGACGATTCATACGCGCGTAAAACGAGTAAGTAAGTACGACGATTAATCGGAAAAAGAGATTTGCAACGCGTTAAATGATTAAATTATTCGAAGAAGCTTCGATGCTCTCAGCCATTTCCTCCTTGATCCAAACAGAAATGGGAAAATCGTGTAGATCTGGTTAAACTGAAAGTTACGCTTGATTGAATAATTCTAGGAGTTATTGAGATATCTCGAAATTAATTTACGTTGCAATCAATCTCCGTAGTAAAAATCAGTTTCAGATAAAGTTGAATGGTTTTCATGGGAACATATTCTTAACGTACTAATTCCCATATAAGTATTACGACTTTTTCTTTCAGCAATCTCGCGAAGGACACAGGAAGTCGAATATGCTTTTCTTTTTAATGTCCATTGAGTTTTATCTGGAACGTTTTTTTCTACGGATAACAATAGTAGCGTAAACCAAAATGATATCAGCTGACCCTGCATGCGTTTATTAAAGATATTTCTACGCCTACAGTAGGATCAAAGTTATAATGACTTTATTCACTTTTTATCGCCTTACATTACTTATGTCTTCATTATATTCACAAAATCCGTCAAAATATCTTATTGAAACTTTAAAGATGCTCAAATAGAATCTCTATGCCTGGTCTCTGCTGTCTCCCCGTGGTCTCTCCTTCGAGATATCTTCAAGAAACTTGGAGGACACTTAAATCGATCCTTCCTGAACACGTCTTTAAAATTTCGTTAACATTGGAACGCAATAAGATCAGATATAGCATTCTCCAAAGGCGAAGATATCGAGAAATCTGAAGGATCCCCAGATCTCTTTTATTCTGTAACTGATTTTCAAATGAAATAAATATCTTGTTAAAAATATATTTCACTGTCTATTCATTTAATGACCGGTCCAGTACTCCCACAATTACCAACAGCCCATTCCTTACCGAGAACTATCGTGGAGGAACATAGTAAAATATAAAGTTCCGTAACGAGGGACTCGAAAAAATAGCCGTGACCATTATTAAGGATGTATTGGCTATACAGTCAATCCTGAAAGTTTATGTACTTTAGAAAAACGCATTTCCAATAATTAAAAAGAAATCAGACGTCGGAAGAATAATGGTAATAATAAATAGTTACGTGCTAAAAAGTATAGAAGGAAATATCCAATTAAGTATTGACGCTGACGAAAAATTTTTTTTTTCAAAATTGCGAAAAATGCTTCAAATAAAAGTTGTTTTCCTTCTAACTTCGATATTTAACGAGTTACGTATGATTATTTGGCATTTTATTGATGTTGACAAAATTCGACCATCCCAGCATCGAAACGGCGAACTTTTGGCAAAAAATTTCATTTTTCCTTCATTACTCCTAAACCGTTGAATCTACGGGATAATTGTATAC